CTCAAGCACTTGCCTAGTAAGCAAGAGGCCTTGAGTTCAATCCCTGTACCTCCCCTCAAAAAAAGGATAAAACAGAACAGTAAAATGCACAAAACAAAACAGTGATAAAACCATTACTTATTATATATTGTTACCCTCTAAATAGCTGCCCAGACTACTGGCCGCAGTCTTGCAAAGTCAATCAAACACCACAAACGTCAGGCTGCTTCCCCTCTTTGAGTTATGATCATGTCAGTGCCGAGCTGCTTACACGTGGGGTTAGGGGCAGGGTGGTGGTGGCCGAGGCGGCTTCCCTGCTGGCTCTCCCTGCTTGGCAGAGCCTCTGCTGGTGCACAGGGCTTACCTTTATTTACACTTTTTTAAAAAATGCACTTTCGGGGGCTGGGGATTTAGCTCAGTGGCATAAGCACCTGCCTTGCAAGCAGGCGGTCATGAGTTCGATCCCCGGTACCGGAAAAAAGAAAAAAAAAAGTTCAAAAAAAAAAAAATGCACTTTCTCATTATGTGGCTAGGCTAACCTTAAACTCCTGAGTGCAAGACATTCTCCTGCTCTGCGGTAGCTGAAATTATAGTCATTACCACCAGACTTGGCTTCAAATTTAAGTGTAACCAGACATATGCCTGTAATCCCAGCACTCGGGAGACTGAGGCAAGAGGACTACTGTGAGTTTGAGCCCAGCATGGGCTTAAAGAGTTCAAGGTCAGCTCTGAACTGCACAGTGAAACCCTGTGTCAAAAAAAAAAAAAAAAAAAAAAAAAAAAAAAAAAAAAAACAAATGTTAAAAAAAGAAAATTTAAATGTGATCTCAGCACTTAGCAAATCGAGACAGGAGAATCAACTTGAACTCAAGGCCAGCCTGGACTACATAGCAAGATCCTGTCTCAAAACAGAGAAAAAAAAAAAACCAAAGAAACTACCTTATTTTAAGCACTATATAAAAATAAAACTTGTATGTATCATGGGGCACTGTGTGATGTTTTGATACATGCATAGCTTGTGTAATGCATAAATCAGCCTAAACATTCCCATCTTCTCAAATATTTATCATGTTCTTATGGTGCAAATATTCAAGAGGTTGAAAGGCTTTTCTTCTATCTTTTAAAAATATATAGAGGGGCTGGGGATTTAGCTCAGCGGCATAAGCGCCTGCCTTGCAAGCAGGCAGTTGTGAGTTCGATCCCTGGTACCAATAAAAACGAAAAAGACAAAAAAAAAAAAATATATATATATATATAGCAGATCACTGTTCTCCGTTCATCATACTGTGCCATAACACACCAGAACTTTGTGTTTTGTTGTATTTTCTTGAGGCAAGGTTTTACTATATAGTCCAAGCTGTCCTCCAACCCTTGGAGATGCTCCTGCCTCAGCTTCCTGAGTGCTGCGGTCACAGCTGTGCACATCATGCCTGAGAGTCAGATTTTACCATGCACACTCCAGACTCATCCCCATACCAGAGGCTTCAGTGAGTAGAGCTGTTTCTGCAGAGATATCTTCCCTCTCCAGGAACCCTGATCCCAGGCTGACCTCGGGACATCTCCACGGCGCCATCCTGCCTGGCCCCAACCCCCACTCCTTCCGTGGGTCTTCCCCGACCGGTGCTGACCGACCCGCAGCTCTCAGGAGCTTCCTCAGCCTTGGCTCTCTGAAACCCACAGGAAGGAAAGCCGGGAGGTGTGGCTCCCCATTTTATCCAGCACCTCTACTGTTCCCGTAACTCGTGGTGTCACATTTCTTCAGCACTCTGTACATGCTTTGCCAACCTTGGTGAATTTTGGGAAAAGTCTAGTATAAGGGATTTCATTTTTGGGTGTTTTTCGGAAAACTGCAGAAATCTTAGTTCCAGTGTAAGGCAAATCTTTTATAACAGTTTGTGGAAGGTTGACCATTGAAAAATATTCGTATCAAACTGAGCATGGCAGTGCATGCCTGTAACCCCAGCACTCAAGTGGCTGAGGCAGGAGTATCTCCTTTAGTTCAAGGCCTATGAGACCACATGGGGAAGACTCTGTCTTAAAAAGAATAAAAAAGACTCAAACCATATTTCACTGCAGGGATTCAAGTTACTAGGTTCTCAGGAGTGGCAGACAATATTATACAAAAAAAGTGACTCAGATAAAAATCAAATATCTGGGGGCTGGGGATTTAGCTCAGCAGCATAAGCACCTGCCTTGCAAGCAGGCAGTCATGAGTTCAATCCCCAGTACCGATAAAAACGAAAAAGAAAAAGACCAAAAAAAACCCACCAAAACAAACAAACAAACAAACAAACAAAAAAACCAAAAATCAAATATCTGAATGACTGTGAAGCAGAAGGTAAAGAAAAACAATCTCTCGGGACATTAGGTTCCACAACAAATTTATGTTCATTGACTGAAAATCACAGAGGAGGGAGATTCTTGCTGTGCTCGCACGGACAATATGGCCTGTTACCACTAATAACATCACAAAAGGAACAGTAATTGATAGTCTCGTGAGCACCTTTATTGTTCACTTTAGTGGCTATAAAATTTTTATTTGGAATTTCCTATAAATGGTCCTGACCTCTGTTCATTTTCTTACCATTTCCCCCATGAGGGCGTAAGGCTTTCACAGGAAAATACTGGTCTGTCTCGTTGGTTTCATTTTCGAAGGGACCCAGGCCTTTGTTGGAATCCAAGGTGACCCCTCTGTATCACAAGGCTCTGTGTCTGTCCTCTAGAAGCTGCAGCCCGCCCTGGCTGCTAAGCTTGTAAAGCATGTGTTCGTCAGAGAGGTTTTACATCAGATGCGGGTGCAGAGGGAAGGGCAGGGGGCAGATTCCAAGCACCAACTGGATTTTCCTGTGCAACCAGGAGAAAACTGGAGCCTGGGGCCTTGGAAATAGGCTTGCATTTTAAAGCACTGTTCCCTCCCAGCAGAGCGCTTTATTAGCAATCCTTTTCTGGTCTCATTTCTCTCAATCTGTAGCTCTAAATTCACCTCTGTCAGTGGTCTGTAAATTACTAATGGGGAGGAGGGTCTGAAACTTCCAAGGAGTTTCATTTATTTGCTTTTTTTTTTTTTTTTTGAGACAGGGTCTCTCTATGTAGTTCAGGCTGGCCTTGAGCTCACTTTGTATTGCAGGCTCATCTGGAGCTCACAATGATCCTCCTGCCTCAGCTCCCTGAGTGCTGGGATTACAGGCATATGCCATGATACCCAGCTCCAAGGAGTTTTAGAAGTATTGTTTTTCTCTTATTATTTTGTTGTGGAATTCTATTTTTTCATAAAAAAGTAATAAGAATAAAATATTTATTAGAAAGAAAACCTTGGAAGTAGGGTCTTCTCACAGCCTTATTTTTTCTGTTTTTGTCTTGCTATGTAGTCCAGGCTTCTTCCTTTCTTTCTTTTTCTTTCTCTTTTTCTTTGTTTTTTGGAGACAGGGTCTGGCTATATAGCCCAGACTAGCTTTGAACTATGTAGCCCAGGCTTCAAACTCAGCGATCCTCCTGCCTTAGTCTCCTGAGTGCTGGGTTAAAGGCATGTGGCACCTATTTATTTAATTTGGAGACAGGGCTGAATTTGAAATTTTTTTTTTTTTTTTTGTCTTTTTCCTTTTTATCGGTACCGGGGATCGAACTCACGACTGCCTGCTTTCAAGGCAGGCGCTTATGCTGCTGAGCTAAACCCCCAGCCCCTGAATTTGAATTTTTGATCCTCCATCCACTGCCTCCCTCAGGTCTTGGATTACAGGCATGTTATTTGCTATGCATTGCCACAATCCTGTACTAACAATAGTAACCAAAACTTGAAAGTTAATCTATAATCCTATCACCCAACAGACCATTTGTTTCTACTTTCTCTTCTATTCTCACGCATTAACCATTACCCAAAGCACTTTAAGTGTTGCTTGCATACACCTTTTTTTGTTTTGGTTTGGGTGTTGGTTTTCCGGGACAGGGTTCGGCTAGGTAATTCAGGTGTGCCTTGCCTGCATACATTCTAAATATAGATTTGCATTTTGCTTCTCATTAATTAATTATTATTTTTGGAGACATAGTCTCGCTGAGTAGGTTTGCCTTGAACTCACTATGTAGCCCAGGCTGGCCTGGAACCCACAACAATCCTACCTCAGTCTCCCAAGTGCTAGGATGACAGACACAAGCCACCAAGCCCGTCTGGTTTTTAATTCTTTTTCATTCTTGCTTAAGTATTTCTGAGGTTGCAAAACATATATTCACAATACGACTTTCGTGGCTATTTAATGTTTCACCCGGGCCAGGCATTTTAGAAGGAATTATTCACCACAATTATCCAACGTTTTGGGAGCCCCAGCTAACACGTTTGACCTTGCACGGCACGCCTCGGAGGTCGGTCAAGGTGAAGCCCCAAGCTCGGGGCTACCGAGGCTGAGTCCAGTTGCACTGCGGGGGAGGGGCCGAGGCTGCTCAGCCAATCGCGTGGTTTACCAGTGCACCTGCCGTTTTGGCGCCTTTTCCACGAGGCCCCGCCCCGCCCCCTACCGGGTGCGCGCGCAACTCGCTCCAGGCGTTTTCCTTAGCCCACCTCCTTAGATGGTACGTGAGGCCGGAAATGACATCAAACCCCGGGTGGTCAGGGGGCGGAGCCTGGCTATAAGCACGTTGGGGGTGGACATCCTGGCCTCAGAGGGCATAGGGAGCGCGGAGTTCGCTGGGCAACGCTGGAGCAGCCTGTGTGAGTGATGCGCTTCTGAGAAGACCCTGCCGCACTTCGTGTTCTCTCTCCCCAGCCTGCCGGGCGGGTCCGAGCGGTTCCCGAGCCGGTCCGCCGTGGTGCTGTCCAGCTGTTGAGGGCCCAGCGGGGCAGGCGGGCGACAGCCGGGCCTGGGGGCTAGCGGCGGCGGGGTGGGACGGCTGTGGGACACGGGAGTCCCCGCCTTTGCTGATTTCCGCGCCCGCTCCGGTGCCGAGCGGCGAGTGATTGCCGCCTTACGGCCAGGGGCAAGGTGAAGTGTCCCTGCTGTCGCCCTGCGCCCCTGCATTCCGCCTCGGCTCCCTCGCGACCTTCTTCCTCCCTCGCAGCCCGGGTCCCGGAGCGCGGGGCGGCCACGCTGCTGAAGCGCCGGTCGCCTGGCCACGAGCACGTGCTGCCCAGGAAGTCGCCCCGGGCTGCGGTGTCCGGGGATCTCAGGTGACCTTGGCCTCAGAACCATTCGCCTCCGCGCCGCATAGGGATTCATGTCTCACTGCTGATGGGAACAAAACTGCCACCGGTTCGGTGACCGGCAGCGTGTCGCGGGCAGTTAGATGGCAACTAAGAGCGCACGTTGGAACGTCGGTGCCATCTGATCTTTTCTTGTGGGCCCTGTCCCTTGGCCTTGTGGATGGATTGCTGAATGGATGGATTCTCATTTTTTCCAGTGCAGAATCAGCGCGAGCGCCGCAGGTGTTCGCCTTAAGAATTATTTCTAGCAGTCATCCCCACAAGATGGGCGACTTGGGAAACAAGGTTGTAAAGGCCGATTGGGAACCAGCAGGACGATCAGAGGGTTGTAGAAGCCCTTGGGTTCACGGTTTCTGTTGGACAGCGCCCTAAAGTGGTAGTGGAGAGACTAGATAAGAAAATATTTGGTGACAATTCTCAGTTCACACTTTGGCCCTGATCACTGTTTGTGGTGACGTTGGGATACATCACTTACCAAAGGACAGGAAGGTGTCTGCACCCCTTTTTCTTTCTCTCTCTCTCTCTTCTTGTAGGAGGATTAAAGTAGGAAATAGTTGTCCTGTTACAGAAGTATTTGGCTACCTGATACCTTTATTCTAGGCTTACATATTAGTTAGAAATACTGGATGCTGGGGCCAGAGAGACAGCTCAATTTCTTAAGTGCCTGTCTGGCAAGTACTAGGTTGTGAGTTCCATTCCCGGTACCAAAAAAAAAGATGCTAATTCAGTAGTGTTTGTGTGGAAAATTTGACCTCATTGACAAAGACATTTAAGCAAATTTCTAGAAGTTACTTTCTGTAAAAATTAAGTTCAGGCTTCCTAAATACTTGTGGGCTTGCTGGAGTTTTTGTAACTTTGTTTTTCCTGTTTTACCAAAACATCAAATGTTTTTCAAAGGCTTATCAGTGAGATCACAATGTAGTGAATGTTAAATTTTTCTTGAGACAGGATCTCACTGTATAGTTCAGACTGATCTAGAATTTGAGGCAATCTTCTTGCCTCAGCTTCCCTTGTGCTGGGATTACAGATGTGCACCACCATGCCTGGCTAGGTTTTTTTCCCCCCAAAAAGCTTGCTTCAGTAAAAGACATTGGTCCATCCCTGTAATGTCAGCAGGATCACTACAGTTTGGGGCTAGCTTAGGGGACCCTGTTTCAAAGAAACCGTTAAAAGCTAGGTGTAGTGAGTGGCATATGCTTGCAGTTCCAGCACTGGCAGACTGAGGAGGATGGCAGTTAGTTGGAGGCCAGCCTTGACTAAGGAACCGGACCCTGTCTCAAAAACCAGAAAAACCCTAAAACAATATTGACATTTTCCCTGATCAGCCTCAAAATATTCCCACTCACTTCTGACACACTTATTCCGTCATTCTTGCTGCTTTGAGTTCTGGAAGTCCTCTCATGAGTGTCTTACCTTACACTGTTATGATTGCTTTAATGACCTGAACAAATTTAAAAAGTTAACTTTTTTGACTTTGAGGAAGAGCCAGAAGTCACAGGGTGGCAGTTCCTGTGAATAAGGTGCATGAAGACATGCTGTGGTGTTTTTATGAGCTGTATTTTGATTGGCACTTGGCAGCAACATTCACTTTATTTTTATCAAACCTTGTAAAATATACTCTAGGAAAGGCAGAAGTGCCTCAGAAAATGGTAAAAGACAGAGGAGGCCTTCAAAGGGAGGGGAGTATTTTGAGAAAGATTAACATTAAGGTACCCTTTAACATAGTTAAATTCTTTTGGTAATTTTTAAAATTTAAGCACTTACCATATTTTTTGGCATATGTCATGTGTGCAAACCATACCATATTTTTAAATTAACCCTGTATGTGTAGCATAGCATCTATTTTTCTTTTATCTTTTTAAGACAGGGTCTCACTATGCAGTTCAGGCTGGCCTTGGGCTAGCTTTGAAGCTCAGTCTGGTCTCAAAACAATCCACCTGCCTCAGTCTCCCAACAGGAATGTACCATCATGCCTGGTAGCATCCATTTTTCTTTGATGGGCTCTCGTCATGTCAAGTAATGGTTGGCTGTGAACCTAGCCTGTGTTGATTGTTGGGTAGAGGTCAGTTTGGCTAACCGCATTGAGGCGAGGTGGTTATTTGCTTGTCATAATGTGTGTGGTTATAGTAGAGCAATAGTGAAAGCTAATTAAAAATGACCCTCTGTGGCCTTGTGGAACTCTTCTGGTTTGGTGCCTACTCTCCATATGGGCACAACACAAGTAGATGGCAGTGGCTGAGTGGTTCTGACCTGCAGGTTGGGCAGTCTCTTCAGAAAACTGAAAGGAAATAAGGATTCTGCTTGTTTTCTTTGATTTCCTCCACTGTCCTTGGATTTAGCCCCTTAAAGCTAAGAAAGCGCCTAGTGCTGTTTTGTCAAATCCAAATCCATCAGTTCTAAGTGAGCTTGTTAAGGAGGGAAGGTCTTTAGAACAGACCCTCAAACAGCTAGAGGAACTTATGTGAGTTCCAAGTGCTTGAAAGAGTGGCCTGTTGGCTAAATTTAAGTGGGCCTGTCCGTGCGAACAGGTTCTTACCCTTTGTTCATAAGGAGTGGCCACTTTGGGGGTGCAACTGTGTCTGACCTTGGTGCCACCCTCCAGCTCTGTGGTGTTTACAGATCCCTGGTTTTGGGGGCATCTTTAAAATTTATTATTTTTTTTTATAGTCAAGTGAAGCAGTGGGAATGGAGAAGGAACAAAGAAATCTGTCACTGGTTGTGATCAATTAGTTGTAAACACCACTGCACTCGGACCAGCCAAGGGGGCATTTTAAAGTAGTGTAAGATGTCAAGATAATTATTGTCTTAAAAAATTAAGCAGAATTTAATGCTGTGTTTCAAGGAAGCAGAAATTAGTTGATTGAATTTGTTCTGCAGCACTGGAGACTGAAGTCAGGAACTCCTAGGATAAGAGGGCTCACCAGTGAGCTACACCTGCTGCAAGATGATTGCATTTAAAGAAGTTTGGTGCTGTCTAGTGTCTTTGTCTGCTTACCTTCCACCTCACAGTCAGTTAAAGACTTTTCAGGTCCTACTTCAGGTTCAGAACACACAAGACTGTGTTTTGCTTATCTTAATTTCTCATTAATGTGAGAACTGACTAGAGTTTTAGTACATCATTGGTACATCAAGCATACGCATAACTAGTATGAGAAAATCAAAGTGATACTTGGTTTACCTCTCTGCTAGACTATCAGCATTGATAGTGTCATCTTAAAATAAGCCAAATGAGAACAGTGTGGCATTTGTTTATTTATGTATGGATTTTTTTGAGACAGGATCTCACTGTATAGTGCAGGCTAACCTTGAACTCACTTAATGTAACCCAAGCTGGTTCCACCTCACCATGATCCTCCTGCCTCAGCCTCTCAAGTGCTGGGATAACAGGTGTGTGCCACTATGCCCTGCCAGTGTGACTTTTTTTTTTTTTTTTAAATAAAAAATGTGACTTTTTTTGGTCTTTTTCCTTTTTATCAGTACCAGGGATCGAACTCACGAACTCACTTCAGTTTTAAAATGAACTTGTTAGGGGTATAACTCAGTTATATAAGGACTTGCTTTGCATGGATGAGGTCTTGGGTTCTATTTCCAGTACTGCAATATAAATAAACTTAATTTAAAACTAGAAAACCTGCTGTCTGATACAGGCAAGTATTAAATTTGTAAACTGTTCTTCCCTCCCCCTGCTGAAAAGGCTATTTAAAATAGGCTCAGGGTGGGACCTTTTCATACTGGTTCTACTGATTGGGTGTGAACAGTGTAGTGGTATGGTGGTGATAAACTTTTTGTGCCAGAAGGGAGAAGAGATTGTGTTTCTGAGAATATGATCTATTGCGTATGTCTTTTTTTTTTTTTTTTTTTGGTCTTTTTCGTTTTTATTGGTACCAGGGATCGAACTCACAACTGCCTGCTTATAAGGCAGGTGCTTATGCCGCTGAGCTAAATCCCCAGCCCGAATATGTCTTTGTGTGGGTTTTTTCCTTTTTTTAAGACATGGTTTCATTGTGTAGCCCAGCGAGGTTCAAATTCGTGACAAGCCTCCTATGTGCTGGCCTTATAGGCCTGTGCCATTATGCCTTGTGTTTTGTTTTGTTTTGAGACAGAGTCTTGCTATGAAGTTGAGGTTGGCTTTGAACTCATTATTTTAGTCCAGGCTGGTCTCAGATTCTTGGCAGTACTCATGTCTCAGCCTCCTGAGTGCTGGCCTTAGCTTGTTGTGTAGCCCAGGCTGTACTTGAACTCCACGCAATGGATCCTCCTGCCTCCCAAAGGCTGGGGTCACCACACCCAGTTCACTGCATCTGGGTTAAGGCTTAGATTTAAGTTTTTTTGCAATTGATACAATGTTCTTTGTTTTACAGTCAGTGCTTTGTGCTGAGTGTCCAAATGTACAAGTGTACCTATGTATAGGAAAAACCTTAAAGTAGATCATATACAATAAATGTCCATTTTATAAATCCCAGCATAACATTTAAGCAGTTAGATGCACTTGAGCCAAATTAATCAGAAAATTCAGGTTTCAGTTAAGGCTTGAAGTAAACATGGTTGTAGAAGTTGATTGTAGAAGTCTGTAATGAAAAAGAATATAATGAAAAAGGCTAAGATTAATTTATTAAATTTCCAGAGATAATCTAGTTTCCATAACCCAGTAATCCACTGCACTTAATTTTTAGGATATCAGTTTTAGTCTTGTATAAATTATTAAGCCTTTCAGATAATTGATCTCTTGTTCTGCATAATAGCATATCCCTTGGGATTTCTGGTTCTTTTTGTGTCAGATCAAATGTTTGTAGCAGCCAGTTACTCAGTAGGATTAAGGCTTCTGTCTTGTCTACTAGGGACCCTTTGTGGTCTCTGTAGCATGACTAGTCTTTTTTTTTTTTTTTGGTCTTTTTTGTTTTTATCGGTACCAGGGATCGAACTCACAACTGCCTGCTTATAAGGCAGGCGCTTATGCTGCTGAGCTAAATCCCCAGCCCTAGCATGACTAGTCTTGATTCATTCTGCTTTGGTTTTGGTTTTGGTTTTTTCCCCAGATAGTAGTCTGTTACCTTTTTGTATTTGTCCTTTTTCTTTGACTATTAAATTTGGTTACTTAGCAGAGATGACATGCTAACTACCCCCATTTTAATTTTTGAAAAATTTCAAGTCTGAAGGAAAAATAGAAATGATAGTAATTAAGTTTGCCAGGCTCCCCCCTCCCCTTTTCTGGTGTGCCTGAGTAAAAAATGACTGAGCTGGGGGTGATGGTACATGCTTGTAATGAGGAGGCCAAGGCAGAAGGATACCAAATCTAAGGCCAGCCTGGGCAGTTTAGCAGTATATCAAGTAACTTAGTCCAAACTGGGCATGGTAGAGGATTCCTATAATCCCAACAGGCTGAGGCAGGATGATTGCTGTGAGGAAGTCAGCCTGGGCTACATGGTGAGTTCAAGGATAGTCTGAGCTACGTAGTGAGACCCTGTTTCAAAAAACAATAAAATAAAATAAAGATGAAAAGGACTGGAGATGTAGCTCAATAGTAAAGCACACTTGGATTCAGTTCCTAGTGCTGCCAAAGAAAGAAAGAGCCATGACTCTTAATAGCTTTGGGGTTTGAGGTAGAACTACTGCCTTTTTTTTTTTTTAATTAAAGGCAGGGTTTCACTATATGGTTCAGGCTGGCCTTGAGCTCACTGTGTAGCCCAGGCTGGCCTTGAACTTGGGATGACCCTCCCGCCTCAGCCTCTTGAATACTGGGATTATAAGTGTGCACCACTGAGCCCGGCTTGCTTCCCCCCCCCCCCCCTTTGGACACTGGATTTCACTATGCAGTTCTGACTAGTCTTGAACTCACTGTGTAGGCAGGCTGGCTTTGAATTTGCAGTAATCTTTCTGCCTCAGCCTCCCAAATGCTAGAATTACAAGCATGCACTACTACACCCAGCTTAACATTTTAGGTAAAGATCATTTTCTAGAAAAATGGTAATTATTTGAAATAAAATTTGGCATAATAATTAATGTATCCTGGTAATGAAAAGTCTTCATTAATTTTGATGCAGTGGCATCTATATCTTATATTAATTTTCTGTTCCATAATCAGGTTCTGTGTGGTAGCTCAGAATGATGAATCAAGCCAGAGCCACGTTCTCGAACTTGGTAAGATGTTTTCAGTTATACATCTATGTCTGCAAGAATGTGAGATACATAAGCATGGCCTTAGCCACCAAGTGTGACATACTGCCCCATACTCTGAATTCTTGTATACTTGAACTGGTTATCTTGAGGCCTAAGAGAGCCCACAAAGGAAGAGTGTCTTCAGTCAGGGTTAAGAAGGTTCACATAGTTTGGGTGTGTTGTGGGTAGCCAACCAAGATGAGCTAAGAAAGTGCAACTCAAAATGTACAATAAGAGCCGGGTGCTGTGGCCTGTGTCTGGGATCCTAGATACGTAGAAGGCTGAAGCAGGAGGATCGTCGGAGCTCAGCAGTTTGGGGCCAACACAGGCAACTTAATAAGACCCTGTCTTCTTTAAAAAACAGTGGTATTGTTGGTGATGTGTGCAAATGTATGTGTGTTTGTGTATGTGAATTAGAAAATATACAAAAACAAATCTGGAACAAAGGGATACTTAGGCTGAAGTCCAGTGTGTGGTGCAGCTTTCATCCACCATGGACAGAAGCGGGTGCGGGAACAGTGCTGCTTGGAAAGGGGATCTTCGATTCTTTTAGGAATGTAATTAAGTCATAGCAGTGGGCCACTAGCAAGCGTACTATGTGACCAGACTTGCCATATATGCTCCTAATTCCCATCATCTCCTTTTATGGTCCTTTCTTTAAAAAAAAAAAAATCCCAGTTTGGAGGAGAACCATTGTCATATACCCGGTTTAGTTTGGCTCGACACGTAGATGGGGATAATAGTCATGTGGAGATGAAACTGGCTGCCGATGAGGAAGAAAATGCTGACAATAACATGAGGGCCCATGTCAAAACACCGAGAAGGTGCACCGGAAGCATCTGCTATGGAGCTATCGCTGTGACCATCTTTTTCTTGATTGGTAAGGGTTTCTTACACCTACCTCTGGGAAGGCCATTTTTCCAACCTAGCTATTTATTCTGGACTTTTTAAGTGCCATTGTGCAAGGAGGAAGAGTACGATAGTGAATGAGATTCTGTGCTTGCCACTGAATATGTTTTGGGAGAGGAGAAAGATATGAATCACTGCCGGATAGGTAACGTGCAGATGTTGTACTACAAAGAAATCAGCTACTTGAGGCACGGAAACAACCTGAGGTTTCAAGAACGGCTTCTGGTAAAACAAAACAAAACAGACCTGTACACCTGTGTTTTAAATAGATAACTATAAAATAGTTATTGTACAATAACTATGTGGTTTAAAATCTGTAAAACTGTGGGGTAGTTATTTCCTTTCACATTACCTAAAATTTATTTAAAAACTAGTATTTTCAAGGGTTGGGTGAAAACTAATAATTCTTATGGAGTTACATTACAAATGAATTGTGCGAGTTTAGCTTTACAACTTTTTTGTTTTAGGGTTTATGATTGGGTACCTGGGCTACTGTAGACGTGTAGAACCAAAGGGTGAGTGTGAGAGACCCGTGGACACAGAGATGAAAGGGTCAGAAGATCAGGAGCTGGAAGAAGAGGTGGTCCTTGAAACACCTGTGCGCCTGTACTGGGATGACCTCAAAACAATGCTGTCAGAGAAACTCAACCCTGCGAAGTTTGGCAGCACGGTCAAGTAAGCTCGAGCGGCTTCGTCAGCCCTGCTGCAGTGTCTGAGCAAACGCTGCTGACTAGGTGCCCTGAGACCACACCACTGCGGCGGACATGGGGCAGTTCAACAGAGAGAGCTTCCCAGGGTTAGGTGGGCAGGGGTAAGAGGGCAGGAGGATAGAAACTACTGGTAGGAGAATTTGAATTTTTCTCAGCATGTGCATACATGCAGATCCTTGCTCTGACGTGTGTTTTTGGTATCTTATTTCTTAGTCTTGGGCTTTATTGTACTCTGATGTTCCATTGTGCTCTCTTGCACTGTCATGTTGAGCTCTGCTGCTGTCTGCAGTCACTAGGCTCTTTCTTCATTTTGGATCTTGATGTGAGTACATGACCTCATAGCTCTGATATTCCTTGATTTCTGCTGGTTTTCACCTATCTCCTGCCTATCCTTAAGGTTTTTGTCTTTAGAGTTTTATTTTTTGGTTTTTGAGACAGCCTCACTCCACAGTGTAGGCTACTCGCTTGTATAGCGTGGCTGCCCTGGCAGCCTGTGGCATCCTCTTGGCCTCCTAAATGCTGGGGTTATAGATATGTACCACCATGCCAACCTTTGTCTTTAGTTTTTACCTTAGATATCTGTAAAGAACGAATTAATCTTTGCCTTTTGATAGCTTCCTACAGTTTTAATAGTTTTAAGTTATAAATCTGGCGTTTTTCCTTTTGTGGGATTATTTTTTACACCCGCACCCTTTTTGGGCGGGGGAGGGGGGGCTTTTGCTTTGTAGTTCAGGCTCATACTAAACTCCCAAGCTGACCTCGAACTCATGGAGAACCTCCAGCCTCAGCCTCCTGAGTGCTGGGATTATGGGTGTATACCACCATGATTGGCTGTGGGATTTTAAAAATTTGGTACATGTTTGCGGCACATGACTAGATTTATCCCAGGAGTTGATACCTGTACATAATACACCTTAATTCTTTTTTGTCCCTTTCACACCAGCTCTTGTTCCCCTTCCCATTTGAAAAAGCTCTTCCATTTTTCCCCCTTGGTTGTTATTTTTAAATCCCTTTTCCTTTTCTTCCCTTTCCTTCTTTCTTCCCTTTATTTATTGTTCCTTTCCCATTTGAAAAAGAGCTCCCTGTTTATCCTTTATTTTGCTCTTTATTTAGACTTTGGGTTTTTCATAGAAGGGAAACCATGTGATATGTATGTGTCCAATTTATTTCACTTACCATTATGATCTAAAAGTGAGTACATTTGTTGTCCTACAAATGACTCAAATGTGTAAATAGCACATTTCCTTTATGCATTCACCTGTTGATGGACACAAAGGCTGCTTCCAAAATTTTTCTTTTTGGTTGCTTTGAGACAGGATCCCACTCTGTACTTCAAGCTTGCATTTAACTCACTACATAGCCCAGGCTGGCCTCTAACTCAGTGATCCTGCCTCAGCCTCCCTACAGGCCTGGGACACCACACTTTGCTTGTTTCCTAGATTAGCTATTGAGGGTACTGTTGTAAACATGGATGTGCATGGATCTTGTTATACAGCTGGCATTTTGAATAAAAGTAAAAATGTATAAGTCCTTAAAAAAATATATCAGTGATAATGCTGAGTCTATTTAAAAAGCACTGCAAGAGATCAGACAATGAGTGCTTTTTTAGTCCAGGGAATTCAGAGTGCTGCAGAGGTTAAGATAGAAGCTGGCCGCCCTGAGCCCAGTGACAGGAGGATCACTAGCTTGTGCTTAGTTTCTAAAAGCTGCATGTTTCCCCTAAAGTCATCCTATAAAAATGTACTATTAGGATTGGGCTCACAGGAGTATTTTATAGTGGGTAAAGCGGTGCAAACAAGTTTGAAGCAATGTCACTTAAGATGTTGGTGTAATTCTGTGTTTTTCTCTGACAATACCAAAGTTTTGGGTCAGTGTTCATGTATCTTCAATATGAGGGATAATACAAATAAATTTTTTTGATTCTTAGGCTACACGTTAATTTTATTGGTCTATTTTTTGGTACCAGGGATTGAACTCATGACCTTGAGCTTGCCAGGCAGGCACATAAGCCACTTAGCTAAATCCCCAGCCCCCTAAATGTTAATTTTAAATATGCATTCTGATTGAGACTTTTTTCTTCCAGGCAGCTGAATCAAAATACATACACTCCTCGGGAGGCTGGATCTGCAAAAGATGAGAATCTTGCCTATTTTGTTGAGAATCAGTTCAATGAATATAAACTCAGCAAAGTCTGGCGGAATGAACACTATGTGAAGATTCAGGTCAAAAGCAGGTACGTGGAAGATGGTAAATTTACAAGAGTAAGTAATTTGATGGGTGGAAAATAGGATAGACTTTCAAAGTAAGAATCCGGCTTAGATACAGAGCAAAATTCTGTCAAGACAAGTAATGCAGGACAGCCTTATCTTCATCTAAATTTAACCTTTTTCTTTTTTTAAGCACTACTCCAAACTCCGTGATTTTGACAAGTACAAATAATGACCTGGTGTACCTCGTGGAGAATCCTGAGGGTTATGTGGCATACAGCAAGGCTGCTACAGTTACTGTAAGTAAGGCAGCAGTGCAGGGGACTCTGCTTTCAGTTGACTCGCTTGGATAGTCTTTTTCTCTACTGTTTTCAGGAGCTATACTCTAAATTCACTTGTAAGATGTAACTGACCATGAGAGAAACATTGGTTCTTGGCTCTCCAGTGCCTCAGTCAAAATAAATTGCAAGACCTAAATAAACCTATTGTGCTTCTCTTTGGTCACGCTTACCTCATTACTTTTCACATGATGAAACTCCTCGACAGGATCTCTAGCTGGCTTTTGGGTTTTTTGGGTACCATTAATGGAATGTGGGACCTTCAGGACCTCGTGCTTATTAGCAAGCAGGTGCTGTGCCACTGAGCCATAGCCCTGGTCCACCAGCTTTCATTTTGCCCAGCTGAAAAAACTCAAACATAAAAAGCGCCAACCTCAAGACCCTTATAAAATTTAGCTGGGTGTGATGGCACACACCTGTAGTGCCAGCACTTTGGGAGGCCGAGGCACAAAGATTGCCATGCGTTTGAGATTGGTCTAGACTACATTGTGAGTTCAAGGCCAGCCTGGACTACTTAGTGAAACTCTGTCTCAAAAAAAATTTTTTTTAAAAACAAAGCTTACTTTTCTCTTTGTCAGTCCTCCTCTAAACACAAAGCAGTTTGTTCCCTTGTTTCATGGAAGTCTCTTCTCCAATATTGCCTCATTAGAGAGTTTTCTTATTTTCCAAAAATACCTTTCGTCCCATTCCCTTATCCTGCCTTTATTTTCTTGTACCTGACATTACCTGTCCATTTATTTCCAGTAAAGTGTAAGTGCCACAAAGAGCCGACTCACCACTAGTTTCATTCACTGACATATTGCAGAGCCTCAGAGAGCGCTTGATACATGGCAGTGTTTGCTAAGTGGATGCATTATTCCAAATGATGCACATGGGGATGGATGTAAACACCCATTTAGGCTGGGCATGCAGTTTGGTGGTTCAGTGTTTGCTTACAATACATGAGACCCTGGATTCAGTCACCAGCACTAGAGAAGCAACGCACTGACTGGGGTCTCATCTTCCTTTGATTCTTTTATGCTTGAGCTTTTAAAATTTGGCCTAAGAAGCCAGAAATACAACTCAGCAGCACATTGCCTGCCTGGAAAGCATGAGGTCAGTAATTTGATCCCTTAATGCCTAAGTAAATGAATAAGCAAACTTGGCCAAAGAAATAGAAAATAGCTAAGTAGATTTGGCCAGTGGGGGAGGTGGCAATAAGATCTTACTATGTAATTCAGGCCTACCTTGAACTGAACTATGTAGCCCAGGCTGGCTTCAAACTTGACAGTTGTCCAACTTCAGCCTCCTGACTGTTGGGATTGCAGGCATGTGCCACCTTACCTAGCTATTATTAGTATTATTTTTTTGAGACAGGGTATCACCTTGTAGTTCAGGCTGCCCTTGAACTTAAGGTGATCCTCCTGCCTCACCCTCCTGAATGCTGGGGTTACAGATGTGCCACCATGCCTGCTTATTATTTTTATGTTTTGGTACCAGAGATGGAACTCATGTGCTCATGCTTGCCAAGCAGGCGCTTGTGCCAGTAAGCTAAACCTCTGACGCATTATTATTATTTTTCATGCTAGTATTTTCAGGCTAGAAGTCACCTTGGGGAAGCACAGTGCCTGCTTGTGATTTCGATCCCTGGTACCCCCTCCAAAAGTCAACGTTGGTATGTCTAAGGGTACAGATGAAATTTGATGGTTATTATCGGTCTCTGTTCCATCTGTCACTTCCCACAGTATCTTTAAGTTAGGAGTTTAGAGATGGATCGATTGTTAATAGATTGTTATAGACCACTGAGGACTTTATTTCATCTGCAAGCCTTATATTGAGATACTGGGTTGTAAGTTTATCGCTGCTCTTGGGAACACTATAGAGTTTAAGGACATTATGATGACCCCTTATAAAATCATCTAAGAATTGGTTTATGCAAGATACTTTAGTATATGGCATTTCACATTTTTTTGGAGGTTTATTATCAGAACTTTCAGTTAAATTCATTCCTACTCCAGATGGCCTCAAGTGTCCTAGGTTCATGTGTGGAAACCTCGTGTAGCAGGTGCTTCTATGATGAGCCTGTATACGTATCTGTGCTTAACAAATCCTGTTATCCTTTCTGTTTCCCAGAAGATGGCCTGTAAAGGCAGCAAGACAAAAGGGAACGTATACATATAGAAGGCCAGAAATCTAATTCATTCTTTTTTTTTGGTTTTTTTTTTTTTTTTTTTTTTTGATAGGCTTTCACTGTGCAGTTTAGGCTGACCTTGAACTCACGTTGTAGTTCAGGCTGACCTCAAACTAACTGAGCCTCCTGAGTGCTGGGATTATAGGCCTGTGCCACCCATCTGGGCCTTGATTTCACTCCTGATAATTCTAGCCAGTTTTGACTTTAGAGTACTCATCTGTTTTTGGTCTTCCCCTCCTCCATTTTTTTCCCCTCTTGGTTTTCTCTCCTAGGTTTGATCTGTAAAAACTCTTCTGTTTCACGTAGTATAGTTGATATGAAGTGCTCATCATTAAATCTAATATGTTTGTTTTAGGGTAAATTGGTTCATGCTAACTTTGGCACTAAGGAAGACTTTGAGAATTTAAACACTTCGGTAAATGGATCTTTAGTGATTGTAAGAGCAGGGAAAATCACTTTTGCAGAAAAGGTGAGTATGGTTTATTTTAAATGTATTGTATCTTTAGTTACATTTTCCCAAGTTCTAAATATTAAAAAGAAAGAAAAGTTAAAAGCCACATCAATGTAGTGCTTGAGAGTGGAAAATATCAAAAGACAGTGATTGTATAAAATCAGTTTTCATTGTTTTTGTTTCAGACTCCTTGATGAGTTAGTTTCATGAAAATTTTTTTCCCATAAGTGTGCTGTTGGAAATATTGGGAGTATCAGTATGGTCCTTTGGTGTAAAGTCCAGTATGTATTATTCACCTTTTATATGAACAAATCTTCATTTTCTAAACTTTGTTTTTTTTCTATAGGTTGCAAATGCTGAAAGCTTAAATGCACTTGGTGTCTTGATATACCTGGACTGGACTAAGTTTCCCATCCCTAAGGCAGACCTTCCAGTCTTCGGTCATGTGAGTTCTTATTGTTACTGAATTCCATCCACCTTAGTAGAAATAGAACTGTACCTTCTTTAACTACTGGGAAAGTTTCAGCAGAAAACAAGATTTTGAATTCCCTAAATATGAGACCTTATTGCTAGTAATTCTTGATCAATAGTACCATGAACAGTAAATATACCTCTTGATAAAAGTGCTTCATCACCTGGGCATGGTGGTGCACACCTGGTAATCCTAGCACTCAGGCAAGATCACTGAGTTCAAGACTAGCTCATGCTACATATATAGTAAATTTAAGGCCAACATGAACCACCTAGTGAGACCCTATCCCCCACCAAAAACAAACAAACAAAAAACAGAACCAAAAAAGCCCCCAAAGTAGTTCATTAAAAATAGTGCCTTCAATTTGGCAAGTCCTTCATAAAGATGGGAGTCACATTATAGAATATTGTAGATTTTGAGACTAGGCTGCATATGTGTGTAGCATGGGCTGTGGCCTTACATCAAGTCTGAGTTTTCTAGGAAACGTTTTGAAGAAGTGCTGGCAGAACTAATTATTCTCTTGTTTTCTAGGTTCATCTAGGAACAGGTGACCCTTATACACCTGGGTTCCCTTCTTTCAATCATACTCAATTTCCACCGTCTCAGTCATCTGGATTACCCACCATACCAGTGCAAACTATCTCCAGACAGGGTGCAGAGAAGCTGTTTGCGTAAGTTCTTACTTGAAAGCTGTCTTGCAGGGTGAGGTTTATGATGAAGGAATTGTGAGAAGCTTCAGTTGATTTAATCAAGGCTTAAGCATTTGGTTATAATTTTACTCTTGTGGGAATTTGACAGCAGTTAACTATTAACTTGATATGGACACAAAAGAATTTTTGCTTCATAAAGTAGTCTTGCCAGTAGATACTGGGCACAGGAACTTGAGTCCTTGTTCACCTTACCTAGTGAGTTCCTTTTGTGCTTTTCTGGTGTAGTTTTCACTTGAGTATGTCTTTCATGAAGCACTTTGTTACCTATGGCAAAACACTCAGTTACTGGAAAAAATGTGTTAGAATTCAGGGTGAGTTATTCCCTGTAATGCCTATTAGTCCTAGATTGTTTAACAAGTCACGGTGATTTTTATCTTGTTACAGACGGTATGTCCTAAGTTCTCGTGACAGTTTCTAAACACTTTATTGTGACAGTTGATTCTCCTGGACATACTCCTTAGAGTAGTAATATCCCTCTTTAGAAAAAGAGAACCCAGAGCCAGAGCTGGGGTGGCATATACCAGCTCTCAGGAGGCTGAGGTAGGGGCATTGCCTCATTTGAGGCCAGTGTGGGGTAAGGACAGTTTGAATTACATAGCAACATTCTGTCTCAGAAACAAACAAAAGAACCTAAAACTAAGAAAACTCATCACCATAATGGAAAGAACAAAAAAATAGAACTATCCAGGTAAAGTGTTGCATGCCTATAATTCCAGCACTTGGAGAGCTGAGGTAGGAGGATCATCAACAAAAGTCTGAGGCCAGCCTAGATCACATAGTGAGACCCTGCCTCAAAAACCAACCACCACAGACAAAAAAATAAGATTCATCAAAATGTGAAACTATATATAAAACGTAGTGGGACATAGTGGCACATGCCTGTAGTCCCAGGTATTTGGAAGGGTCACTGCAGACCACAAGTTCCAGACAGAGCAAGCCCCTCATCTCAAAATCAAGGTAGTCTGATTGGTGCACATGTCATTTATTTATTTATTTATTTTTCCTGGTACTGGAGATTTAAACCCAGGGCCTGAGGACTGAGCTGTACCCGAGCCCGATTTTTTTTTTTTTTTTTGAGATGTGGTCTCAATACGTAGGTCAAGCTAGCCTTGAATTCACATCATTTTTCCTGCCTCAGCCTCCCAAGTGCTGGAATTAACCATCGTGCACCACCATTCCCAGTTTAATCTTTGAGATGTTTTCACTAAATTATACATCCTGGGCTCAAACCTGTGATTCTCCTGCTTCCACCTTTCAGGGTGTTGGGATTATATAAGTGTGCATCACCATGGTCAGCATGTTTTTATCTTGATCTAAAAAATTTCCCACCTGCTATCATCATAGGCTGGATATCTATTTGCAGACCCTTATTAAAGCATCTGGGTGATGTAGAGTGAGTTACTGTCACTCCTCTAAACCTGTTTCATCAACTTAAGTTTCATGTTACATAAAAGATCCTACTTACTAGAGTGGTTGACTACAGATGAAGAGCATCTGCATGCAAGGACTTTGTAAATCCCATGTAACTGTTAATGCTTAGAGGAATTTGTACTAAGTGAGTCTCACTGACACATTCTACCCTATCTTTCCCACCCTGTGAAGCCAGTTCCTTCTTATGTAGTCAGGGGCAATGTTTTGTCTTATATTTATGCTCATTAGATCCCTGGACCACTTATTTTTGGGGTAACTTGAGGAATCAGTTTTTTTTTTAAGATAGTAAAATCCAACAAAATAAGACAGAACAAAGCCAATCAAAACAGTGCAGCAAAATTGGTACAGAACTTCAGCCATAGTATATCTTGCCAATAGTTGTCCATTCCAGCAGGTATAGCAAAATCATACCAAAAACAAAGCACTATTAAAGCAATCAAAGCAGAATATTAAACAAAGCAAAAACAATCAGAACAAAGCAAAACAGTGAAAATAATATTTGGATTTCAAAGACACAGTAGAAGGAAATCCTATATATTTGTTATATTGCATACAGTGGTCATCCCAAGAGATGCCCAGATCACTGGTCCCAGGTCAGCATAATCAACCCAATGATACAAGTATTCAGTTGCTTTATATATCTTAGTTGCTATCAACTCAGGCTGTCCTCAGAGCCATCCGTTTGCTACAGATGGTTGCGGGGAGATGGAATGTGTTTGATTCTCAATCTGCACTGGTAGGCTCACAGGAGGTCCTGACTTTTCTTTCCCTGGTGTTTGTGTGGCTTGTGCAGCTTACAGGAAGGCTAGCTAGTTGATTTTTTTTTTTTTTTTTTTTTTTTTTTTTTTTTTTTTTGAGACAGGGTCTCGCTATGCAGCTGAGGCTGGCCTTGAGCTCACTTTGTAGCCCAGGCTGGTCTCGATCTCGCAACGATCCTCCTGTCTCAGCTTCCTTAGTACTGGGATTGCAGGCATGAGCCACCACGCCCAGCTAATTAGCTAGCTGATTTCTTGATTGGTCCCTCAAGTCAATTGGGAAGATTCTTAATCACCAGCAGCATAGGAATATTCTTTGTAACTGAGAAGACTGTTAGGTAGGAAAAGGTTGGGAAGCATAAGAATATTTTTTTCTGATTTATTTTTTTTCCTCCCAAATCCATTTTATTTTAAAGAAAGAGGATTAAAAGAAAATAAAACAAAATTTCAAAATGTAACAATGAGGGGACAACAATGGTACGTACATTGCATATATTGCCATCCCCAAATCAGTCAACCAGAGCACATCTGCATTCAGTTGTCTGAACAATACCAGCACAAACTTATCTCTTCAATGAACTTAGAGAAATCAGTAGTATAACTATCTTAACTATTTTTATATATATGTATATGTATTTATATATATGTATATGCACACACATACATACATTGTTTCAGCTTCTCACTAGTGAGAATACTATTTACACATGCATGTGTGATTTATTTCACTTAAGAGTATGGTATGCTTCCATTTACCTGTAAAAGTCTCAAGTTTGTCCTTTATGGCTGAGTAGTACTGCATTGTATGAAAGTACCACATCTTTTTTATCCATTCCTCAGTCCATGGGCATTTAGTTTGTTTTCAAGATCTATCTATTACAAACTGTGCTGCAATGAACATTGTTGCACATATATCACTCGTGGTATGATGTTTTTAAGGGAGTATTGAGTCTAAAGGGACCTCTAACCTAGTTTTTAAAGGAATCTCCACAGTGGTCGTTCTAGTCAGCATTCCCAGCAGCAGTGGAGAAAGGTGTTTTCCCCACAGCCCCTCCAGCATTTGTTATTGCTTGAATTCTTAATAGTAGTCATTCTTTCTGGGCTGAGATGGGATCTCAGTGTTGTTTTAATTTGTATCTCTTGAATGAGCAGTGAGGTTGAACATCTTTTCATATATGTATTTGCTGTTTATATTTTTTCATCTGAGAAATGTATATTCATCTCAGATGCCATTTTTGGATTGGGCTTTTAAATCTGAGAGGACTTTTTTTTTTCTTTATATGTTGTTGACAGTAATCTTTTGACGAACAGCTGATAACATTTTCTCCCACAGTGAGTTGTCTCTTGACTCCCTTGGTGGTTTCTTTTACTGTGCAAAAACTTTTCAGTAAGGAGAGATCTCATAAAGTCTTTGTCTATACCAATGTCTTAAAGGGTTTTACCTATTCTATCTTCTAGCAGATTTTTTTTTTTTGTCTTTTCCATTTTTTTTTTTTTTTTGTCTTTTTCATTCTTATCGGTACTGGGGATTGAACTCTTGACCACCTGCTTGCAAAGGCAGGTGCTTATGCTGCTGAGCTAAATCCCCAGCCCCAATTTGCTGCAGTGTCTTTTCCATTTTTATCGGTACCAGGGATCAAACTCACGACCGCACACTTGCAAGGCAGGCACTTATGCTACTGAGCTAAATCCCCAGCCCCCTTCCAGCAGATTTAATCTTTCTTTTTTTAATATTTAGATCTTTGATTCATTTTTAATTTAATTTAGTACATTAGTAAAAGATACTGGTGCAACTTTAATCTTTGGCATGTGCAGAGCCAGTTTTTCTAGCACCTTTTATTAAAGAGGCTTTTTTCCAGTGAATGTGTTTGGCACCTTTGTTAAAGATAAGGTGGCTTAGTGTGTCTGGAGTTGTTTCTCTATTTTCTAATCTATTCCATTGATTTTTTTTTTTTTTTTTATTGGTACCAGGGATAGAACTCAAATCCACCTACCTGCAAGGCAGGTGCTTACGCCGCTGAGCTAATTCCCCAGCCCCTATTCCATTGATCTTAAGGTCTGTTTTTTTGACAGTACCATGCTGATTTTTTAAAAATCACAGTAGCTTTATAGTATAATTTCAAGTCAGGAATTGAGATGCTCCCTGCTTTGTCTTTGTTGCCCAGGATTGCCTTTGCTATTTTAGGTCTCTTCTGGTTCCAGATAAATTTTAGGACTGTTTTCTCTAATTCTGTGAGATAGCATAAGAATATGTTAATGGATTTTTATGAGTTATCCCTTCTGAGTCCATCTTGGTACTTATTTCAGATGTAAACCTTAACATTGTGTCTGGCAGAAGAACACATATGAGATGTGGCTAAGTAGAGACTTTTTTGAAACCTTTTTGATTAAACTACAAAGTAATTTAAATTTTCAAATGACTGCCTACAGATTAGTGCAAGGTGCAAGTGGCCACCAGGGAGTGAATTTCCTTTGTTCTCTTTGTGTCCTTTTAACCTGATCCTCACTGGAGCCAGAGAATGGAACTGACTGTGTAACCCTGAGGGAAGTGACTAACTCAGAGCTCTGATGCCTGTTTCCTGCTTGCAGAAATATGGAAGGGGAGTGTCCCGTCAGCTGGAGAACAGACTCTTCATGCAGACTGCAGTCAAAACAGAACGGGAATGTGAAGCTCACTGTGAACAATGAGCTGAAAGAGATAAAAATTCTTAACATCTTTGGAGTAATTAAAGGTGTTGAAGAGCCAGGTAAAACCTTTGTTTTGTGTTTTTTTTTTTCTCCTTTAAAAAAAATTCTGGCTTAGTTCTGTCAAGTGCTAACTTTTGGCTGTTCTAAAATAAGCTATTTAGGTATCAGCTTTACTGGGACATAACAAGGTCCTAAGAAGTTGACTTGTTATGAATTACTAGAGAATCTATGTTTAGTTATTGACAAGATCAAAGATAAGAACATTTTTCTTAAGGGGCAGATGAACATTTTGTGGGGTGTACACATAACACAAAACTGGCATAACCACTGTGTAATGCATGAGCTCACATTCTAGTTTGCTGATGCCTGGAACTATTTAAATGCAATCAAATAGTGACCTCATTTAGAAAGGAGAGGCCTTGGCATTAATTAAAATTAACTAAAACAATTAGTGAGCCCATATACATAATCACTGAATAAATACAACTGGTAAAATAGAGAAAGTAGCAATATAATAAGGGGGAAAATAGTATTGTCATGTAAATTTTTAAAATCTCTGACATCCTAAGTCAGTCTGAAGTGAGCCTTTTTCATCTGTAATACCTACATGATACTTTTCTGTTTTTGGTGTTTTGAGTCAGAGTCTTGCTATGTAGTCCAGGCTGGCTTGGATTCACGATGTAGCCCACACTGGCCTCAAACTCATGGCTGTCCTTCTGCTTCAGCCTCTGGACTGTTAGGATTACAGGCGTGCGCTACCATACCCAATGATACTTTATATTGTCACGCTCATTTTATCTAGACCTCGATGTTATAAGATAGTTTAAAAGTTGATTCATAAAGTTTGTTTTGTTTTCTTTTTAAGATCGCTACGTTGTGGTGGGAGCCCAGAGGGATTCCTGGGGTCCTGGAGCTGCAAAGGCCAGTGTGGGAACTGCTCTGCTCTTGGAACTTGCCCGGACATTCTCAGATATGGTCTTAAATGGTAGAGTATAAACCTCCAAACCTTTGAGGATTATATGCTGCATACCAAAGTTGTAGATGCTATATACCATGCTGAAGTTGGCCTGATTTCTCAAGATTCTCTTATGTTAGACCTTCAGTTCTTTTTTTAAAGGCCACACTTTTCTTTTTTATTTATTTATTTTAAATATTAAATCTTGTTTATTAATACATGATTGCAGTATATAATGATAACCTTCATTATAGGGAGTTGGTACATGTACACATCTTAATTGTTTTTACTTTTCCCTTCCCTCCATCTCTTGGATTACACCCTTTTTTTGGTACCAGGATTGAACTCATGACCTTGTGCTTGTAAAGCAGGTGCTTATGCCACTGAACTAAATCCCTGGCCCACTGTTTGGTTTTTTTGAGAGAAGGTCTCACTGTGTAGTTCAGGCTAGCTTTGAATTCACTGTGTAGCCCAGGTTAACTTCAAACTCAAAGTGACCCTCCTGAGTGCTGCGATTATGGGGGCGCACCCATCCCTTGCTCACACTTTTTTTTTTAAATTAAGTTTATTGGTTTTAAGTATGCATAATGATTATATTCATCATAAGGTATGTCTTTCTTTTCTTTCTTCCCTTCTTCCCCTCCCTTCAACCTCTTCCCTTCTTTTTTTTGTCTTTGAGACAGGATCTCACCATGCACTTCAGGCAGGCACAGAGCTCACTTTGTAGCCCAAGCTAGTCTCGATTTGCAATGACCCTCCTGCCTCAGCCTCCCAAGTGCTGGGATTACAGGCATGGTCACCACATCTGCTTGCCTTATTTACAAAATTTTGTTTCCATTATTTTCTTTCATTTTGCATTTTCTCATTGCCTTTTGCCCTCTCTAGTTCCCCTTCCCATTTGAACATTTTCTTCCTATTTCACAATTATCTCTTACACATTTTTAGATCCTTAGTTCTTAAACACAAGGCAGATTGTGTTTTGGAACTGCCTTTTGACTTTGTGTGTGTGTGTGTGTGTGTGTGTGTGTGTATGTGTGTTTCTTGTTTTGTTTTTGTGCTGGGATGAAACTCATGACCACTGTACTACTTATCAGGCAGGCACTTATGCCACTGAGTTAAATTTCTGGCCCTGCTCTTTGACTTTGAAATGATTCTCTTTGAAGTATTTTCATGGCAATGGGAATCATGAGTTTTTCAGACACTTGGTAGTATTCTCTTGAGACCTGATTCTGAGTTTGGCACCTCAAGAAAGAAATGACAGATCTAATATGCATCTACCTGGCCATGTGCCTGTTCCATGTGACAAAACCTAACCACTGTTAGAATTTTGTTCTTTCAGCCCTTTCACTCAGGGGACTGGCAGCTCTTCCACACCCTCCTGCCACGTGCACATCTTTATCACATTCTTGATGGTTTGGGCAGTAGGGTAATCTGCAGTGTTTAACCTTTGTGGAAAATAAACTTAATACAGAAGAATACACACCCAGCCACAAGGTAGTGCCAACAGGTACTATTGCAAAAGTTACTGGAAGTGTCCTGTTACTTGTGTTACTTGAATTTGTGAATTTTTATTTTATTGGGTAAAAGTATTCTTACTTTCTAAGTGACTTGTTTCCCAGCCAAGTGTTCTCGAGTAAAACACACATTACACTCATACTGTAACTTCGAGGATCTCTTGGTCTGGAGGTTAAGGCTCCTAAAGAATAGAGTGTAGTAGAGAAGAGCATCTCCCAGTGAGCCAGTACTTTACATGCAGATGATCTCTGAGCCTCTTTGTAGATTACTTTAAAATTCGAATCCTCTTCCTTTAGTGTCCTTTTATCTGATGTCTCAAAAGGAAAAGATCTACTTTTGAAATCTATTCTCTTGAATCAAAAGCTTCTGGTTCAGTTTCCAGTCAGTTACCTGCCTGGAACCTTTCTGAGGGTAAAGCTGATTTTTTTTGTTTGTTTGTTTTCATTTCAGGTGGATTTAAACCCTGTAGAAGCATCATCTTTGTCAGCTGGAGTGCTGGAGACTTTGGAGCTGTTGGTGCCACTGAATGGCTAGAGGTATTTGTATTATCTATCCATGCTGAGGGGTCCCTGAAACTCTACTGGCTTACGCTGACCTCCAGAAACTGCTCTGTCAGAGCTCATTATATTACTGATTTCTGTGTAGGAAGTCTCAATAGAATCCAGATTTCAAAATGAATCCCTAATAGCAGCTGTCATATGTGATTAATACCTATGAATAAATGCATATTACCAGTATCTTATTCTTACATACAGTACTAGGGATTGAAGCCAGGGCTTTTGTAGTAAGATGCCTCTTCAGCCCTCCTGCTCACTTAAAAAAGGTTCATTTTGTTTTGTTTTTTGAGACAAAAGTCTCACTGTGTAGTCTAGGCTAGCCTTAAACTCACGTGGTACTCCTGTCTCAGCTTCTTGCGTGTTGGGTTTATAGATATGTGCCACCAGCCTGGCCTCTTTTTTACCTTTTGAGAAAGGGTCTTGCTAAGTTGTCCAGTCTTGCTTCAGATTTGTGATTTCCTACCTAGCATCCCATAGTGTTGGGATCACATTTGCCACCATGCCCAGCTTAGAGCATAGTGTTAATATGCATTATATTGATATGCAAATTAATGTCTTCTCTTCTAGGGATACATTACTTCTTTACATTTAAAGGTTGTCACTTACATTAATTTGGATAAAGCTGTTCTTGGTAAGTATGTCTTTCACTAGCTGTTTATGAATGCAGGTAAACTAGGGAGCAGCAGAAGAAAACTTACTAAAGAGAACCTTGTCATTTTGACAGTTCACAAAGTCTATAACTAGAGGTAAAAACCTTCTAGGTCCAAGGCAGGCACAGATTGTGTGTTGAGCAGTGGTCTCAATGTTTTCGGTTCAGTAGTGTCAGTGCCATTAGGAGCAAAAATCCAAGGTCTCAGCCTGCATTTTCTGAATCAGAAACTGGAGTATGGTCCCAACACACTGTTAAATGATAGAACCTGCACTCTGGAGGGAAGCGCAGAGCATGGTCCTCGGGGGACAACTCTTGCTGGTTCATGCCACACTGATGGAAATACTGAGTGACAAACTTTGAAATGAATTTGAATGGCATTTAAATCTGAAGATTAACTGAGAATAGTGAGATGTCAGCACTAGGAAGAAAGAGGAAGGAGTTACAGTTAAACTGAATCTTTCTGAGACCAGTCATATTCACTGTTTGATATTTGGAGAGGACTTTATTGGGTGTGGTAGGCTTCCTATACTAGAACATGAGTGAGGTTAAATGGTTAAAAAAAAGAGTTTTGGTAACAGGGCACATGTAGGAGAGGTAAATCACTGAACCTTTCAATTTTTCTTTTTTTTTTTTTTTGTCTTTTTGAAGCAAAGTTTTGCTATGCATTTCAGGCTGGCCTTGAACTCTTATATTGTAGCTCAGGCTGGCCTCGAAATCACAGCAATGCTCCTGCCTCAGCTTCCTGAATGACAGGATTACCAGAGTGTGCCACCACACCCAGCTTAATTTTGCTTTAAATCTAAAACTACTCCAAAAATAAATAAACTCTAAAAAAAATCATACCAAAATATTCAAATTTAAGAACTAAGAGCCTCTGCTGGGCATGGTGGCACACACTTGTAATCCCAACACTTGGAAGGTTGAGGTAAAAAGGTCACTGTAAGTTCTAGGCCAACCTAATTATGCAGTGAGACCCTGTCTCAAAAAACAAAATCCTCACCAAAAAATAAAAGGAGTAAGAGCCTGGAGTCAAGTTAGAATTCCATAGTTGATATCACTGGCAAATTAAAACAACACTGAGATCCACCTCACCCCAGAAAGAATGGCTACTGTAAAGAAATCAAGCAGTAACAAATGCTGGTGATGCTGTAGGGAAAAAGGAACCCTTTTCCCCTGTTACTGAGAATGCAGCAGACTGGTACAACCACTATGGAAATCAGTGTGGAGGTTCCTCAAAAAACTAGGACTAGATTCTAGGTTTCATTTGACCTGGCTAGTCCCCTTCTGGGTATCTTCCCAGAAGTATTAAAAACATCATACCACCGTGATACATGTGCACCCATGTTTATAGCAGCATAATTTGTAATAGCTAGATCTTGGTAACAACCTAAATGCCCATCAACTAAGGAATGGATACAAAAGATGTGGCATTTTATACAATGGAGCACTACTCAGTCAAAAAGAAGGATAAACTGGAGACTTTGTAGGTAAATGGATGCACCTTGCATCGTATTGTCTCATTAGTTTGAGAAGCTGAACCAACGTGTGTGTGTGTGTGTGTGTGTGTGTGTGTGTGTGTGTGTGTGTGTGAGAGAGAGAATGTAAAAAAACATAGTTAAGATAGTTACACTAATGATTTCTCTGAGTTCACTGAAGAGAAAGATTTGTGCCAGTGTTGTTTGGGCAGTTGTAAGCACATGTCTTGTGCTCTAAGTGAATGATTTGGGGATGACAGTGCACAGTGTATGTAACCATTGTTGCACCCTGATTGCAGGTACTACAAACTTTAAGGTTACTGGCAGCCCAATGTTGTTTAAACTTATTGAAAAAACGATGCAAGAGGTGAGTTGTATATACACCTAACTACAGAAATGTAACTTACTGCTCCTGGAAAATTTACATAGAACAAAAACCATTAAACTATGGCCTATTTAGAATAAATTTTGCAGCAGCATTGTTTAAATAATACTCTTGGGTTATTGATCCGTAGCCCGTGGAACTGTTGTCAGATGAGGGGTGGTAGATGCAAGGCCCAGTACCACAGGAGGTGCGTCCTTAGGAATAGTAACAATACGGGAGGTGCCCATGCGTGTCAGGAAGGGTTAAGTGGGCTTGAATAAGACAGATGAAATCATTGCATTGTGATAAACACATGAAGGACAAGGGGAAAATATGTGAAAAATAGTATTTGCCCCAACCAGGGGCTGTTAGAATGGAACAGAGGGCTGGGAATCTGATACAGCTCAGCCGACACAGTGCCTGCCTGGCCAGTGCACGGTGGTGAGTCCAACCCCCAGTACCAAAACACATGGAAGCAGAAACCAAAGGTCAGGTACTAGACTTGGGCCTGAATCTCCTGGCAATCTAGAGAGCCCTACTAGGCCCCAGCCAAGGTGTTGGGTAGATCGGCAGTGCCAGATACGTTCCATTGGAGAGATTAGAAAAAGAGAGGCTTACTGTGGAGGCTAGCGAGGGCTTTTAAGATTATGGTTCAACTTTAAAATGTCAGTAAACAAGAGTGATATTTTGTCTTAAGTGTTGACAGTACAAACCTAGTAGGAAAAACCTAAGAAATTTGAGATTGTTTTCACAGTTGTGAGTGCTTTAAAAAAAAAATAAGGTATAATGTAATATTTTATGAATATTTAGAGATGTTGGTGCCTAGCCTGAATAAGTTCAGAAAAGTTATTTTTTATTTTACAGGTGAAGCATCCACTTACTGGAATGTCTCTATATAAGGACAGCAACTGGGTCAACAAAGTGTAAGTTGAGGAAAGTGAGCAAGCTACTAGCAAAGCAGGATCGCCCACATCGAGCTGTCTCCTTGCAGTGAGCTCAGCTGAGGACCGCACTGGGGAAGGGAGGGTGTGTGGGAGCACAGTCTGCTGAGAAAGCAGGCTGAAGACATATTCTTGCTTTCCTTGCAGTGAGAAACTTTCTTTTGACAATGCTGCTTTCCCTTTCCTTGCATATTCTGGAATTCCGGCAGTGTCTTTCTGTTTTTGTGAGGTAAGTCTGAGGGACTCTGCAGTGTTACACATTCAATCTTCTTACTTTGAGACCAGGTTGCCTGCAGTGCTTCAGTGGCTTGAGGGCGTTACATACGCGTAATTGTTGGATGTTCCCTTATGATCAGTCTTAATGTGGCAGCCAGCATCTGGGAACAGTGCTGAAAGCCCTCTCAGAAAACCAGCCCTGCAGCAGAGCTCCTGAAGATGAGAGTTGGGTGTAGCTCACTGTGAAGGCCCTGGGCCCAGTCTTCAGTGCTTCCAACAGGAAAAAAGAACTGGGTATCTGGTCCTCTGTTGAAGGAATTTATGCTTGATTTCATCTTTACTTTTTGATTGTTTGTTTTATTTATTTTTGGTACTGGGAATAATCTCAGGACCTTGTACCCGGCAGGCAGGTGCTACACAGCTGCAGTAAATCCCTGGCTGCAAGGTTTTTTGTTGCTGTTTGTTTTTGGGTCCCAGGAATCAAACTTAGGATCTTGTGCTTGCCAGGGAGGCACTGGGTCACTGAGTTGTATCCTTGGCCCTCACATGTTTTTTTTTTTTTGTTTTGTTTTGTTTTTAAGAACATCAAATGTAATCTGAGATGTAAAAGCCTTCCAGCACTGGTTAAGAGGTGGAGTCATAGAAAATGTATGGTGTGAATCAGGTTGAACTAGAGGATTATTAGTGACATTGTCACCAAGGACAATATTCTGCGAAAGAATTAATGATTAAGAAGTAAATACTAACACGGCTAAGGTGCCATGTGTCATGGTGCACACCTGTAATCCAAGCACTTATAGGCAGGAAGAGTGCCACAAGTTTGAAGCCAGCCTGGGCTACATAGAGTTCTAGGCCAGTCTGAGCTTCAGAGTGAGACCCTGTCTCAAAAAGCAAAAAAAAAAAAAAAAAAAATTAAAAAATGCCTAAATCTGTACCTAATGAAGCACTGAATATTTTGTTACAAATGTAAAGTATACAAGGGGACTAAGTGCCACATGATTAGGAAGAAGGCAGTTTTTAGTCTGAAGAGTGATACTTGGGCTGGGTACAGTGGTGCATACCTTTAATTCCTGTGCTACAAAATGAGATTGTGTCTTTTTTTTTTTTTTTTTTCCCCCACCCCCGAGATTGTGTCTTAAAAAAAAGTCAATGACTTTGTTTTGTTTTTGAGATGAAGTCTTGCTGTGTAATTGAGGCCAGCCTTGAACTGACTATATAGCTCAGGCTGGCCTAGAATTCACAGCGATCTTCCTGCCTCAGCCTCCTGAGTGGTAGGACTACAAGTGTGTGGCACCACACCCAGCAAGATAATACCTTATATTGAAATTACTTTTCACATGTGTTCTTCTCTGTCTCCATTAATATGAGCCAGATAGCCTAGAGAGAAAAGAAGGGAGTTTGGCCAGAAATGTGTTCAGGGAATAAGGGATGCTAGAACATGGTTCCAGGACTAGATAAGATTCAGAGGCAGTAGCAAGGGTGGGACCTTAAAGCAACAACAGACAGGAGCTGCAAGTAGGTGAGAATACATCAGAAACAGGAGAGAAGTGCAGTAACTATTGATTTTGATGAAGCCAGAATGCGTGGTTCTTACTTTTCAGATACACCGACAACAGTAACTTCCTTTATTTCTAGGACACAGACTACCCTTATTTGAGTACCACTCTGGATACCTATGACACACTGATGAGGGAGATTCCTCAGCTGAACAAGCTGATGTATGGAGCCGCAGAGGTGGCTGGGCAGTTCCTGATTAAACTGACCCATGACTTTGAGCTGAACCTTGACTATGAGATGTACAACAACAAGATGCTTTCTTTTTTGAAAGAGCTGATGCAATACAAGGGAGACGTAAAGGTGAGCCCTAATTGCAATTAGATTTTTTAAAAATTAATTTAAAATTTTATGGGCGTGGCGGCACATTCCTGTAGTCCCAACACTTAGAAAACTGAACTACATGGTGAGACTTCTACTGAGGGGAAGGGGGGGAGGAAATATATATATATATAAAACTTTAAAGTTGCACAGATTTATGCATATGATGTTTTGATGCATGTGTATACTCTATAATTAAATCAGGGCAAACACACCTCAGCTATTTCCTTGTGAAAATATCAAAGTCTAGCTTTTAAAAAATTTTTTCTTCTGGCTTTTTGAAATATAGTGTGTCAGCCAGTTGTGGTGATGCATGCCTGTAATCCCAGCACTTGGGAGGCTGGGGCAGAGGATCACTGAGTTCAAGGCTAGCCTAGGCTACATAGTGATACCCTGTCTCAAAAAGAAAGAAAGAAATGTAGTGCATCATCTTTATAGTCAGTAGCAGACCAGGGCTTACACATTCTATCTGTGAGTGAGATCACACAGTACTTGTTTTCCTCTGCCAGGCCTATTTTATTTAACGTAATGACTTCTAATTCTGTCCACATTGTCATAATGACAGGATTTCATCCTTTTGTATTCCATTGTTACATATACCAACCACAGTGTTCTTCATCCTTCTGTCATCTGATTTGATGAATACCTAGCTTGTTTCTATTTTGAGATGCTGGGAGTAGTACTGCAATAAACACAGGAGTGTAGGTGTGGTATGCCGATTTTGTTTCATCTGGATATATACCCAGAGTGGGATTTATGGATCAAATAGTAATTTTATTTTTTAATTTTTTTGAGGAACCTCCACTCCATTCTCCATAATGGCTTTACTAATTCATATTGCCATGAAATTAGGTTCTTATTTCTGGTATATTGAGTGGTTTGAAGTATATTTCTGGGGAGGGATATGATTAGTAACAAACATACATTATAAAGTAAACCAGGTATAACTTTGCTTAGAATTCATAACTTGTAAAATAAGTCAAGAGTCTGTGATTCTGGGTCTAGGGCAGACTGCAGCAGGTTATTTCAGGATGGAGAGCTGTCTTGTCAACCTATATGTAAGTATGACCTGAGTGGTCCAAAGAGCTCCAGTGTAAGTTTACACTGTGTACCTATATAACTTTACTTGATAGTGTTTATCCATGTGTGTAGTATTCAAACACTGAGTCAAATGAAGTTTAGTGAGTTGTCTTTAGCTTATTTTATGACACTAGTGGTTGATTTAACAGGCTCTTAACTGAGGTAAATCACTAATAAACAGATCTTAACTATTATACCTTTCTTGAAACTCTTTAACTGTTGAAAAGGTGGAAACAGTTTGAAGATGACTGACCAGAATGTTCGTTTAAAGTTTTTCCCCATAGGGAAATTGAGCTGAAAACAATGTAGTATATAGGATGATACACTTCTCTTAAGTTATGTTGGATTTCTTAGTTAAAATGGTTTTCTAATGATGCTAAGAATGGATAATTGTACTGCCTGCTGGGTAAGGATAAAGATGTAATCATGGTTTATGGAACCTTTGTTCCACGTTTCTGAAACTTAGCTTTCTGAGTTTTATCTGTGAATCACTTTTATTGGAATCTTCTCAATTGCCACCTTTAAGGTAGGAAGATGGAGAAATAACACCGCTAGGAAGGTCCCCTGTCACACTGAACGCAATGTCTTTCTATTCTAGGAGATGGGGCTGAGCCTTCAGTGGCTGTATTCTGCTCGTGGAGACTTCTTCCGTGCTACTTCCAGGCTGATGACAGATTTCCACAATGCTGAGAGAACAAATAGATTCATCATGAAGGAGCTAAATGATCGTATTATGAAAGTAAGTAAAGTACTGGGCGGGGGCAGAGGGTGGCTGCAGTATGTACATTTTTAATTGGTTAATCTTGCATTTCTAAAAATGGTAAATAGAAGCCTAGATTCCCTTGTCACTATAGAATTGAGCACAGATTTTAATACTTGGCAAGATCTAAAGTGTATCTAGTCTGGAAGAGACATTTGATGGTATCTTTTGGGAGGGTTAAAAACAATTTTTAGGAGATATGTTTGCTTTTGGTACTGGGAATTAAAGTCATGACCTCACGCTTGCCAGGCAGGCACTGTGCCACTGAACTACATCCCTGGCCCTTGTTAGGGGATGTGGATGTAGCTCTGGTAGAATGAGCCCTTGGCACAGAGCTGTGGATTCAGTTCACAGCACAGAAAGAGGGAGGGAGGGAGGGAAAAAAAGAGAAGAAACAAGCATTTTGAGTGTGGGTAATAAAGCTTCTATATATCTTCTCAAGCCAAAAAAAGAAATCTCAGTATGATTAACATTCAGTTTGAGAAGGTATCAACAGGTTGCTTTCAGATCTTACCCTGAGAAAATTAGTAACTCAGTTCCCAACACTCTCAAATTCAGAAGTTTTAACATTTGAAGTAGGAGGGTTAGGGTCCCTTACTCACAAGAGCCAGAGCCCTGAGCATGCCGTCTTGTCCATCTTGTTTGTACAGATGGAGTACCACTTCCTGTCACCCTATGTGTCCCCGAAGGAGTTCCCTTTCCGGCACATCTTCTGGGGCTCCGGCCCTCACACTCTGCAAGCTTTATTGGAGAACTTGAAGCTGCGTAAGGAGAATAAGGCTGCTTTTAACGAAACACTATTTAGGAACCAGTTGGCTCTGGCTACTTGGACAATTCAAGGTGTTGCAAATGCTCTGTCTGGTGACATTTGGGATATTGACAATGAGTTTTAAATGCCATAAGCATAACTAATTTAAGAACAACAGGGTATTCTGATTTCTAGATTTGTACTGGTCATGCTAAATTTTCCATAAGACTATGAAACCTAATGTTATAGTTCTATCTTGTCATCTTGATAATACTAGATGTCTTTAGGCAGAGCTTTTAATACCAGGTAGGTCCCTGTACTTCCAGTTAAAGTGAATAACCACTTTAAAGATTTTCCTCGATTAGCTGTAGAATTTAAGTGCTTTTTAATGTAACTGCCTCTTTGCATCCTTTGCTGAAAATGTGAGAACCAGTTACACGAACTATTGCTGTAAATCCCAAGGACATAGGCTGATGTCTTTAGAGATGGGGGAGTAGGTGTTTTGTCCTGGAGGTCAGAGTGTTGCTCAGTGTGATCCTTCATCACATTTGATGTTGGCAGGAGCTTCCAGGTTGCAAACCTCGTTCTCTAGGTGAAACACCCCCACCCCCCACCCCCTCCTGTAAGGACTCAGCTGGTCTCCGCATCCCTGAGTGAAACAGTTAGGTTCAGAGAGATAGGTCTTATTTTCTTGCCAACAAGGCCTGAAATACAGAGGTCCTTCCACTGGGTCAAATGAGGTTCAATTGTTTATTGCAAGATAAAGGCCTTAAAGTGTGAACTTCGATATTATTAAAAGTGGAGACCAGACACCAAAGACTTTTAGTATATTTTCTTTTCCTCTTACCTTCTTCATAGCCTTTGTTTAGTTCTTTATTGTTTTTTCCCCTTCAAAGTTCTGAAAGAGAACCAGTCTTAGGCATTTAATTTTAGACTCAGTTTGTCAGATTTTAAAGAACATATTGCCAAATTTTGGCCAAAGTGTCAATCTTTTGGGAAAGCTTTCTATCATTTTGGCACTGAAATATTTATTGTTTATTTATCAGTGACAGAGTTCACTATAAATGTTTTTTTTATAGAAGATAATTATCGGAAGCAGTGCCTTCCATAATTATGACAGTTATACTGTCGTTTTTTTTTAAATAAAAGCAGCATCTGCTAATAAAACCCAACAGATACTGGAAGTTTTGCACTTATGGTCAAACTGGAGGGTCCTAGAAAACAGCCGCAAACCATACAAAATTGTAACAGTAAGTAATTGGAAAAAATAAATTTAATTAGGATTGCTAATTAAGATGAAATTCCATTTAGCTGGCCAGATAAAATTGATAGCTCTCCTAAATGCAACGAATTCTGACCATGTTATTGGTGAATGTCACTTAAAGGCTGTGGTAATACTCATATATACAGAATTTTACAGCTCAATTTGTCTATGGTATAACTTAAATTCCAATTTTGCAAAATTTCCAGTACCTTTGTCACAAACCTAACTGACATTATCAGGAGCAGTGTCTTCCATAATGTATAAAGAACAAGGTAGTTTTTGCCTACCACAGTGTCTATATCGGAGACAGTGCTCTCCATATGTTACACTAAGGGTGTACGTAATTATCGGGAACAGTGTTTCCCATAATTTTCTTCACGCAGTGACATCTTCAAAGCTGAAGATCGTTAGTATCTAACGTCGTTAGATACTAAGATCGTTAGTATCTATCCCCGACTCCCTGTAACTCCTTTTACTTTTAGTCGCAGAAACATTTTGTGGTCATTAAGCTCTTGGTGGGTAATTCAATTGCTATAAAACTGCTACTTCCTTCTATATACTTTTTTTTAAAAAAGCTTAATATGGGTGTTTTGTTACCTTTGTGGTTTCTCCATATCTTCTGTGTAGTGGAATAGTAGCATACATTGGTTATGTTTGCTGTTGGTAAATGAATTTAACTGTCTCCTCATTTGTATGTTACCTGTAAACTTAGTTCAGGTGTTTGAATCTAGGGTTGAACTTTTATCTTCAAGCAGGGGAAGTTGTATAGGTTTGGGAGGTAGGGGTGCAGGCTGGGGAGGTGAAGCTTGCAGGAGGATCTTTGATCATGCCTATCTCCCCGTTCTCGCAGGTAGCGATTTGGTAGATAAGCACAAGTATGAGGCTACATGAGTAAAGGCTTTATTTTCTACTCCTCCACCATGGTAAGCCTGATAATCAACTGTTTGTCTAGGGCAGTTGTAAATTACCACCGCACCGAAAAGTCAGTACATCCTTCAATTTGTGTCACTTACCTAAGTTACAGTAGACCTTGATTACTTTGCAGCCCCACTGAATTATGCCGATGTTTAGTGTTACTAAATGAAAAAAAGCTCCGTGACTTCCAAGGGACAATGTGAGTCAAGGGCATGCACTGTCCTGTAGTGGGTCTCTGGGAAGCCAGCCCTTCTCTATGTTAGGGCTTACTGCGAGTCAACAAGCTAGTCAATTGTAAGAGGCTTCATGTTCCTAAAGGGAATTTTGTCTGACTCGTGACAGCCTGCCAGTCTTCAGAGAATGTTTCCTGGCTAAGACACCTGTGGTTGGGAAGTGAGGGATGGATTGTGACCTGTGTTGTGACTCTGATTGACTGTGCGAGTGCTCGCGTGGCCTCGCTGTGTAAATGCTCTATAAATGCTGGACATTGTAGATTCACCACCCTCCTGTAAATGAGTGCTGTGCCCTGGTTAATGTCCACAACCTGTATGTGTGGCAACATGGAGGTTCCTCATCTGACAATAAAATGCTTGAATACTCAGTTGTTGTTACTCTTTTATTATTATTTTGTTTGGTGCTGGGGATTGAGCTCACAACCTCATGTTTGCCAGGCAGGGGCTTATGTCACTGAGCTGTTGTTGCTGTTTTAAAGAACAGTGCATCTGTCACGGTTATGACCCAAGTCCACTCAGCTGAACTGGTCTTAGATCTGTCATAATAACAAAACTCCAGTCTCCTTGCCAAGGAATTCTGGTTCCTTTGTCAGTCCTCACGCTGTTTGTATTCCCTTAATTTCCTGCCTCTGACTCCATCAGCTTCAGAACAGAGCAAAAGGGCAAAAGCCTTTGGGGGAACAGTACTGTGGATTGAATCCAGGGGTGTTCTACCTACTGTCCCAGCTTCCCTTTTTTATTTTATTTATTTATTTTGGTGCCAGGAATTGAATTTACGATCTTGCACTTGGCAGGCAGGTGCTATACCTGACCTATACCTTTGGCTCCTATTTTTTGTTTTGAGACATCTCAATGAGTTGCTCAGGCTGGCTTCAACATGGTGATCCACCTGCCTCATCCTCCCAAAGTAGCTGGAATTCAGGCATGTGCTGCTATGTCTGGCTGGCAAGAAGCTTTTTACTGGTACAGTTGTGGCTGTGTTGGGTCCCTCTACATGAGGTAGATATCCCCTTGCCAGTGGTCTTTCCTGGGGGCATGTGCACATTCCTCAGAGCTCCACCCGGTCGCCAGCTTCCAGCTGTACCTCCTTATCTGTCCTCAGTGTAGTTTTCTACCACCTCCTGCTTGTAGAGTTCTTTCACAAGGTGCCACCCGACAACACAAGACCCCCTTGGTAGAGTCCCCAAGGTCATTTTCTTGGCTTTCCATTCTCTGTTAGGTGTCCCTGCATCCCCAAACCTACACTTTCATGAGGGGATCAAGAAATGAGTCCTAAAACGGAAGTGTGTTTTAAGGAGTCAAATAGTACTTCTAGCACTTGGGAGGCTGAGGGCAGGAGGTTCACTGAGTTCGAGGCCTGCCTCAGCAACATAGTAGTTCAAGGTCAGCCTGAACTGCATAGTGAGATCTTGTATGGAGTAAAAAAATAAATAGAAAAACAGTTGGGGCTATAACTCAGAGCAGCTGGCCTGTGCCAAGCCTTAGGTTTGATTTCTACACTGTTAACAAGAAGCTACACACGCACAAACCCTAACCTTCCCTAGTCTTTATAGGGAAGAGGGTTTTTTTAGTAGTTTCTTTGGGATTTACTCCTTTATTTCCTTATTTTTTTTAAGACGGGGTCTTCCTATGCAGTTCAGGGTGGTCTTGAGCTCCTGCTTCAGCCTCCCAAATGCTGGGATTATAGGTGCGCTGCACTATGCCAGGCAAGAATTTTCTTTTCATTAGGGACATGCCCACTGCAGAAGTTATAACTGCATCCTTGCTGATAACACCCAGCCTGCTGTCATAGCCGCTTCCCTGAACTCCTGGCACTGACTGCCCTGTCTTCTGGAGACAGGATTCCCTTGTGCTAAGCCGCAGACCCATCTTGACCTCTGCTTGTGGGTCCTCCTGGACTCTGACCAATCAACCCCTTGGAGCTGATAGAATTTGCACAACACTTGGGGGTCCAAGGGAGGAATGCTAAGTTCTTGGTAAGGGAAAAGAGGTGATGAAATGGATATTAGAGGGAGCTTAATGGGGAATTAATGCGTAGGCAGAGACTGAAGTCAGCAAGGTCATCTAGAGAACACTTGCAGTAATAACACCGTGCAAGAGTGTAAATGTTTTATCTTGTCTAATCCTTCAAACCTCCCAGCATGGGAATCTTACCTAAGAAACAGGCCTGCTGGAAGGGGACCAAAAGATAGAGGAAAGGAGACAGAAGAAGGGGATGAGAAAAGAGTTAAGATCTGTGTGTGTACCAACTCCACAGCAAGAGTGAGATTGTGTCCTGCAAGCATGAACTGAGAAAAACAAAAATTAATAAGAAGTCAGCCTGCTGATGAAAGGGTTTGTTCCGCCTGACCTGGAGATAAATGCATCGTTGGCTTCTGGCATATTGAACGTGCTTTATCAGAATTTTGAATGAGAAACCCAAGCCAGGGCTTGGAGAGGTACCTTTAAGTAGACTAAAGAGGTGCTGAGAAGAAGCAAGGCAGGAAGATGAGGGTCTGTAGAGTGCAGAGGGAGATGGATCAAAGAGGCTACTGAGAACCTGAGCCTGTGGGTGTGGTTGGTGAGCCTGGAATCCCAGCACTGGAGAGGCTAAGGCAGGAGGATCACAAGTTTGAGGCTAACCTGGGCTACATAATGAGACCCTGTCTCAACCAAATGAAACTGAGTCAAGTTTCTGGGCAAGTGAAAGAGCCAGAGGAGTAGGGGGAGAGGGGACTAGACTTGAGATTGGGTTCTGTTGTCACCTACTGGGATCAGTGTGAGCGAGGGGAAATGTCTGGTGGTCAGCCGGACATTGGCACCCAGTCAGCCCTGGGGCAGGGAGCTGTGCACGTAAAGCCTGATGGGGGTGGGGAGCATGGGAGGGAGCTGTCAGTCCCAGTGGAGGAAGATGTGGCCAGCATGGGATGAGGCGTGGGCTTGCCTGTGCAGGAGCCTGTGACGTACAGTGTGTACACTCCAGGTGAAGATTTGAGCGAAAGACAGAAGAGCTACAGAAAAAGGGAAACAACACAGCTGACTGAAGGTAAGCCCTGACTGCTACGCATTTCTGTACTTGGAACAGGGAGTACCAGGTAAAGCTGGGTTGCAGGCAGCTAAAGTAAAGGATAAAGGGTCCTGTTCTTTATTTTTATTTTACCTGTTTGTTTGTTTGTCGAGGCAGTCTCAATAAATTACCCAGGCTAGACTCAAAACTTTGGATCCTGCCTCAGCGTCCCAGCGTGCTGGAATTGCAGGTATGTGGCACCATGCCCAGCTGTCAGTCTTCTATGATGAGTCCTGAGGCCACTCGAAGCCCTTGATGAATAGATTGAGCCACGTTTACATGACTGCTCTCATACTGCCTGAACACACCACAAATCCTTAGTCCACACACATCCTTTGACTGGTTCCCAGCCCTAACTCTAGGTGTCCACCAGTGGGCAGCAGAATCCAGAGCTTGCCTGTTTCCTTTGGGAATAAATAGCCTACACTGACCCCAGGATTTCGTCATCCCTGACTCATCTGGCTCTGACTCTAGCTTGAGAGGGGGCAGGTGTGTGGGTGCAGCTGGCAGCCGCGGTGCCTCCCGATGCCCTAGTAAGGTTTTGAAACCTGAACTGCTTGGGGGCAGAGCACTTTGGCCTGGGTGGTAAGGGAGAGGACACAGTCAATTCTTGATCCTGGGGAACGTAGCCTGAGTTAGCAGATCTCCCCACACCTCAAGATTCTTTCAGAATCTTCCCTCCATCTTCACTAAGAGGCTGATGGCCTCCTCTGGACTCTGAAACCCTTAGCCTTTGTTCAGTCAGATTGTCAGCCCAGGCATCAGCCTTTGTCCCACTCCTTGGGCTCTCCTGGGCCTCAGTTTAGGAATCCAGAGGCCCCTGGGAGAACAAAGACCAAAATATGTGGCCTCTCCCCTGCCTGCCCAAGTTTGCATTGTAGCCCAGGCTGCCCACTTCCGATTGCCCCTTGGTATCCATTGAAGTGAGCCATGGATACAGCCCCACTCCAGTGACTCCAGTTTAATGGTTCTAGGTGGGGCGCAGTGGTTTTTAAAGCTTTCCTTGTGATTATGTGTAGCAGCACTGACTTATGTGTCCAAGGCCTTGTTACCCAAAGGTGATTGGGGGGCAGCACCTGAGAGTGTGGTAGAGGAGCTGGGGCTTGGTATCCCCTTACCACCTGCAGAACTGGAAGATGCATTTCAGCCCGGTCCCCGAGATGGGGAGCCGTGCTGGTGCTGGTCAGCAAGCTGCTCTTCCTGCTTACTCCCTGGTCTGGTCACCACAGGTACTTACTTGGGTGGTTTTAAGCTGGAGTGAGTGGTGACTTTCTGAATGTATATACTGTGACCGATGGACAGTAGACACTACATAAAGACAGTATCCACAAGCACACGGAATGAAACCAAAATGCCACAAACAATACCTTCACTGCCTGTGATGTATCCATTCATTCCACAGGTGTTTTTTGTTTTTTTATTCCCTTGAGACATCATCTTGCTATGTAGCCCAAGCTGACCTCAAACTCACAGAAAGCCTCCTGCCTCAATCTCCCAAGTGCTGGGGTTTCAAGCTTGTGTTATAGATCCTGCTTCATTGGTACTTTTGGCTACTTCTTTGTGCTAAGCAATTTCCAGTTGCTTGTGTTTAGAAAAAATCCAAGTTAAAAAAAATCCATGTAGTCGTAGAGTTTACTTGTGTTGGGTGTGCGTGTGTCAGAAAGCTCAAACCATGGATATGAAAGGCGTGGTAGAAGTTTAATACAAACTTTCTTTTAAAGATTACATTTTTCTTTTTTTTTTTTTTTTTTTTTGTCTTTTTCATTTTTATCGGTACCAGGGATCGAACTCACGACTGCCTGCTTGCAATGCAGGTGCTTATGCCACTGAGCTAAATCCCCAGCCCCAAGATTACATTTTTCTGAGTGTGGTGGCACACTACCATAATCCCAGCACTCAGGAGCCTGAGGCAGGAGCGTCACTACAAGTTTGAAGCCAGCCAGGGATACATAGTGAGACTCTGTCTCAACAAACAAATAATAAAATTTGTATTTTGAGGCAGGACTTCTGAGGTATTGGTAATGGTCTGGATCTTGTAAACATACATTTTCCCCCCTCTGGATATGTATTTTATGTCAATTAAATCTAAAAAATTACATTTTAGGAGGCTGGGGATATAGCTCAGTGGTACAGAGCCTTGCTGGCAAGCAGGAGGTCATGCATTCAACTCCTGGTACCCCCTGCCCCCATTTACATTTTAATGTTTTCTATTCTTGTCATTAAAATAAGAAAAGCCAGAGTCGGGAGTGGTGGCACATGCCTGTAATCTCAGCACTTGGGAGACTGAGGCAGGAGGAATCAAAGTGAGCTCAAGGCTAGCCTGAACTGCACAGCAAGACCCTGTCTCAAAAAGACAAAAAAAAAAAAAAAAAAAAAAAAAAAAAAAGCCAGAGCCTGTTAATTGCAGCACTGGGGAGACTGAAGCAGGAAGTATCCCTAATTTGAGCTCAGTGACTTAGTGAGACCCTCTCTCAAAATACATGAAAAGGTCGGGGTATATAGCTCAGTGCAAAATCCCTGAATTTGATTCCCAATACTACCAAAAAAAAAACAAAACAAAATATCAACAACAAATGAAACAAAACAACCTACAGAAATTTCCCTATTTCTGTACCCCCTTTACCCTATACTCCCACCAGCATAAGGAATAAATCGACTAAGATTTATAAGGTTAAATCGATTTTTGTATTGAGAATCAAACTCAGGGCCTTGTGCTTTCTATACAGGCATTGTACATTGTGAGCCCCTAAGGTTCTCTTTTGTCTTGAGTCTGTAACCTTTTCTACAGGAGAGCATGTCAATCATCATAGTCCAAATCTGTGTTCTTGGGCCATGGTTGCTCATACTTGACAAGGGTATTATTTCTCTGAAAGCAGACTTTTTATTTTATGTTAATCAGGGAGGCTTGCTCCAAATGGGCTGTTTGCATCCACTGGCCACTAAAATCTAGCCGGCCATGATGCTGACACAGCTGGCTCCTGGGCTGGTATTGCTTGATGCACAGTAGCAGGTCCGGGAACAGAGGACAGGCTCAGAGAACTGGATTTGACTTCTGGCTGTGTGGCTGAACAGTCCCATAGCCCTGGACAGCCTCAGTCTGTCACCTGTAAATTGGAGATAATGTGCGCCTCTCTGGGCTGCTGCAGGTTGGGGAAGGAAAGCAGGCACAGGGTTCTGCTCTTGAGCTTTCTAACCCTCAGCAAGGGGGCTGTTTGCTTCTCCTCAGATGTTAGAACTCCATCTCTCTTTCTCATTGTGCAGACAACTCCAGAGCCCCATAATTTAAAGGTGGAATGGTTTATTTTGGTTCCAAGGCAGAGACAGCATGGCCCAGATCCTGGTAGAGGAAAAGCTGCTCCTGTCTTGCCAGCCAGGAAGCAGAGAAAGAAAGGGAGGACAGGATAAACCCTTCAGAACTGCTTCCCAATACTGCCCCCTAATAGCACACTGACTATCAGCCCCCATAATACAATCACCTTCCAAAACCCCATCTCAGCCCATGAGGCCTTGGGGGGACATCTAGATTCAAACCCTACCAGAGGAAGTCCCTGGCTGAGGTAGGGCAACGGTCTGCACCTCCTGTGCTTTCTCACAGAGCAAGGACCACACCCAAAGCCATCCAGATAGGCCTTGTGCAAGGGTCTGGAACACATCCTCTTTCGTTGGCCATGCTGTCCGCTGGCTGCGGCCTTGGGATACAAGGCCACCAACAGGAAAGAAGGAACTCAAGACCATCTGCCTGCCTTTCAAAAGCCAATATTAGGATACCAGAACTGATTGGAAAGAAGGGCTGACATCCAGAGGATACGGTAGTGACCAGATGAGGCAAGCTACGTCCCTCAAATAAAAGAACATTTTGGGGAACTGGGGTCTGCAGAACGGCTCATGGGGCAGGGCAGTAGGACAGTGGGCTGGAAAGCTGCATGCTGAGTGAGTCTTCCTCATCCAGGGTTGGGTCTCTTCTCTGCCCTGGCTGAAACATTTGATTGACCTTGATCTCCTCCGGCCAGTTCCTGTAATTTCTGAGACAATGTTAAACCTCACAACAGTTGATATGTTTTGTGTTCATCGAGGAAGGACTAGAATAAAAAGGGGCTTGGCATACTCAGATGTTATTTTAGGGCCATTAGTTGGTTTGGGTTTTGGCAATCTAAAAGTTTTAGCAGTTAACATTTTAGAGTGCAGAATGCCAGGCAAAGGGAAGGAGGTCAAAGGACAGCTTATAAAAGCCAGGCACAGGAGTCTACCCAGTTCCCTGCTGATTGGTCCTTCATTCCAGCATTGTTTTATCATCAGAGTCACTTTAAAGATACGGTGGACTCAGTGTCCCTGAGCCTGTGGGCGCTCAGCCATGAGCACGCTGCAGGCAGCACTGGGAGGAGAAGGCCCCCTTTGGTTTGGGCTGTTTCTAAGACCCCAGTGGGAAGTATCATATACTTGAGACAAACACCTTGTTTAGGAGTCTTCCCCTAGCCACTTAGAACTGCAATCTCAGCCCAGTGCTCCTCCAGGGGGACTCCCAACTTTCTGCTGTACTTTTCCCCCCACTTGGGTCCTCAAGAAGATGCCAGCCAGGCCGTGGTGGGGGTACAACAGAAGCGGAGGGTGGCGAGGGTAAGTTAACGCTGCTCAGCAGCAGGCCTGGCCCTTTAGGGGGTGGACCCAAACTCCCAGGCCCCGCCCCCAGGGCGGCGCAGGCGCGCGCGGGGCCGGCCGGGCGGGAGGCGGGCGCTCGCGGCTGGCGCCCGGCGCGCGGGGCCGCAGCACCGGCGGGGGCCGGCGGCGCCGGGCGGCCTAGGTCGACGCCGCGAGGCGCGGGCGGGTGGGGAGGCGGCGGCGGCGGCGGCGGCGGTGGCGGTGGCGTCCGCGGAGGAGGAGGAGGCGGGGCGTGGACCCTAGCAGCCCCCTCCCGGCGGGGGCGGTGTGAGCCGGCGCGGGGGGCAGCACCATCTGGAGGGGCGGGAGCGCGCGGCCTGTGGGGGGCGGGCGTGCGCGCGGGGTTGTGGGGGCCGCGGGCCGGCGGCGCGGGGCGCAGGAGGAGCGCGGCGGGCTGAGCCCTTCGCTGCCTGAGCAATATCCGGCGCGCATCGGGGCGCTCAGCTGGGGCCCGCAGCTGCTCCGTGGGTTGAAGCTAGGCGTGGAGGAGCAGGGAGGCGTGGGGCCGGCGGTGCAGGAGGAGGGCGGCGTGGGCGCAGGCGTGCAGGAGCGTGGCGGCCGCGGCCGCGAGCCCAGCCCGGGAGTGGTGTGGGGACCGCCGGCCGGCGTGAGTGGGGGGCGCGCGGTGCGGTGGACGGGCGTGGCTGGCCGGCCCGTGGCGCAAGAGGAGGGGCTGGGGCCGAGGCGGCAGCACCAGGAGAAGGGGGGCGGGGGCCCCGTGGTGCAAGAGCGGGGCGAGGCGCGCACCGGGGTGCAGGAACGGGGGGAGGGGAGCCCGCGCCGGGTACTGCGGCCGCCGGAGCCCGCGGAGGGTCCCGAGAGTCCCGGCGAGCCTGGGGAGGGGACGTGGGGTCGCTGCACACATCTGGGGCACGAGGCGGTGGTCTTTGGGGAGCCCCGGGCGCGGCGCCCCGAAGTCGTGGGCAGGGCCCGGTTGGTGGGGCCTTGGGGGCTTGACGGAGAGGGGCGTCCAGGAGTGCAGGAAGCAAACTGGTTGCCGGGGGTGCAGGAGGGACAGGTGGTTCACGCCGTACAGGAGACGTTGTTGGACGGCAAGGGCTCCCAGCAGGGAGCGGAGCCTCCAGAGGGCCCCAGGACTCGAAGACGCAGGCGGAGGAGGAGGTGGTAGCCAGGATTCTCCCACCCGCACCTCTGGGAGCTCAGCATGTAGGTCCGCGGGGCGTGGGCAGCTGCGAACTTGAACGGTGCTGTAAGCTGCAGCCAAAGGACAGGCAGTGGCTTGCGGGGATCTTCTGTTACCTCGGCCTGGGCTTCACCGAAAGCAGCTGAAAGCAGCAGGTAAGGACGCCTATTCTGATCCTTGCTGGAGGTGATGGTGTGTTTGGCGGTGCAGAACAGCAGGACTCCTCCTCCAGTCCTGTACCCCTGGCCCTGAGATGTGATCACCCATCTTCCAGTCTAGACTGGACATGCATTGACGTGGGTGACTGCCAGGTCGGGGCACAGGGAAGGGAGGGTAGCTCAGGGCTGAAGTTGCAGGCACACAGCCACTTGTTTCCCTGCCATTCTGCTGGTGAAACGGGCTGCCCTAGAGTGGTGCAGTCAATGCAGCTCCCTCTGGTCCTGCAGAGAAGGAGGAGGATGGGAGGGCTTACCATGTGGGTCACATGGGCCCAGTGGGAGTGTGATAGCCAATGACTTGGGCACGAGCTTGATTTGCCCTGCCACTCGGTCTCACCACAGTTGATTGGTACTGAGGGCCTAGAGCGAGGGATGGATGGTGGGCAAGAGAGTGGGAACAATTGGTGAGTCCTAGCTCTGAGTGGGACCCTGAGTGCCAGCTTGAAAGAGCTGTCAGAGGCACACTGTTCTGCTGGTCTGTGAACATACAGAGTGTACCAAGTGGGTAGCTGAGATACGAGAGTTTCAGTACCCACCAGGGCCTGCTTCAGCTCATTGGCTGGGGCACAGGGCTAGGTTTGGCTTCCGGGTGCCCTTGTCTGGCTTCCTCTTGCTGTTCTCTTTCCCAGAGCTGTCGGGGTTCTTGCTTCACTGCCCCTCTGGTGTGGAAGGATGCACAGTCCCTGTCAACTTCGAAGTCTTGGCTGGGACCCATCCCTGGCCTTGTGCATGGTTGACTCTGAGATCCGCAGACCCTGTCCTGTGCCCCGTTGCTGGGAGATTACACTGTCTGAGGGAGTGGCCATCCTGTGGTGGCTGAGAGTTCAGAGGAGCCGGTTTGCCTGCTCCTGGCAAAGCCAAACTTGTCTGTCAGCTTCATCCCGTGCCTGTCACCTACCTCCCAAACACTCTTGCACCGGAAGTGCAGATTGGTGTCCTCATGCCTGGCTGGTTCTGGAATGACCGGGGTGATTCTGGTGCTTTGACTTCAGGGCAGAAAATTGTCAGTTCTCATCGCATTCCTGCAAGCAGACATCTCCCTCTGCTGATTTGAGAATGTGTCTTGGACTTGAGGTAGATGCAGAGGAGAGAGGCATTGGCATCGTTGGGTAGGTCTGTTGTGATCTGATAGCACTCACTATAATGCCCTGGGCTTCGGTTTGCTGTCTGCAGCTGCCTAGGCTTTCCCTGCAGCCAGGTCCTGAGTGTCGGGAGCCCAGGCCAGCAGATGTTGGGGAGGTGGCCTCAGTGCTCCAGGACCTCAGTGACCTTGATTACCTAAGCCCAAGATTATCCTTCCTCTGTGCTTATCCTAGAAGACCAAGTGGTTTTGTTTTTTTTACTAAGCTTTGCTGATGTGTGATGACATAGTAAGCTGCACATACTTAAAAGCTACAGCGTAATAGGTTTTAAAACACACGTACCTGCGAGCGAGTGAACCTATTCCACGTTCCCAAGCAGCAGTTTTCTTCTGTCCCTTCAGCATCAGCATCCTCCCACTCTGTTTTGCTGTGCCCCTTCCCTCTAACAGATGGGTTTGCTTTCTCTCTCTCAGACCATGTTTGCAGTCCCCAGCCATTTGTAAATGGGAACCACATAATGCTTGGTTTCTTTCAGTGAGCCTAATTATTTTTAATTCACCAGTGTTGTTGCATATCTCAGTATTCCTTCCCTTGTATCGCTGAGTGGTCTGTTGCCACACCCACTTTATCCATTTACCTGGCAATGAGTTGGTTCTAGTTTTTGGCATCACAGTAAGGCTGTGTTAGCCTCTGTATGGATGTATACTTTCATTTTTCTCAGGTAAGTCCCTAGGCCTGGCTGGTCCTGTGGTAGGTGAACATTCAGCTTTTTAGGAACCCCAGACCCATCATGTCACCACATTAATATATATCATTTTTAGGGTTTTGTTCTGTTTTGTTTTGTTTTATTGGTACTGGGAATTGAATGCAGGCCCTCACACTTGCTAGGCAGGTGCTATGTTGCTGAGCTACCTCCCCAAACCTCATTTTTTATGTTTTAATGAGCCAGTAAAGTAAACTTTAAAAAAAAAGAAAGTAATTAATCTAAAAAAATAGCTAGACAGTCTTATGTGCCCACAGCCCATGTAACGCAAGGCAGAGGCAGGAGGTTGTCTTGGACCCAGAAGCTTGAAGCCTGCCTCAGCAACAGAGCAAGAACCCAGGCCAAGAAAAAGAAAGCTGGGTATAACGGTAGCATATGGAATCACTTGGAGACTGAGGCAAGAGGATTGCCGCAAGTTCAACACCAGCTTGGGCCACAGTTAGTTCATGGCCAGTTTGGACTATATATCAAGACCTTGTCTCAAAAAAGCAAAAAACCCCTATCAGACAGTTTTCTAAAGTGGCTCAACAATTTCATATACTTGCACTTGTATGGTTAGTCTCTAAGTTTAGACGGCAAGGTGTGTCTGGTGATATCTGACTGTGGTTTTAGTTTGTGTTGCCTCAGTGACTAATGCAGACCATTTTCTCCGACACCTGTTTGCCATGTGTGTGGCTCTGGTGCTGGCTCTGTTCAGAGTGCTTGCCCATTTTTAACTGGGTTTATTTTTTTCATATTGAATTTTGAAAAATTCTTTCTGTATTCTAGATAAGTCCTTTATTAGATACGTGATTTTGCAAACCTTTTCTTCTCATCTGGTGGCTTCATTGGTATCTTTTTAAAGAGAACTTAAACTTTTACTTTGTCTCGCTATGTAGCTTTATTGGCTGGCTTTGGATTCACTATGTAGCTCAGGCTGACCTTGAACATGGGGTGATCGTTGTGCCTCAGCCTCCTGTAACAGCGTGCAGGGTTTCTCCAGTTTTGTCAGACAGGTCCTTAAATACTAAGCTATTTTGATGTTGATGTCAATAGTATTGTTTTTTACAGCATTGTTTTTCTATCTTTAACAACTGTTTTTGGTTAATTTCTTTTCAGTGGTAGGGGTTGAACCTAGGGCCTCCTGCATAAGTAGGCGCGCACTTTCACTGAGCTACATCCCCAGCCCTAAAACTATTCTAATAGTGAAAAAATGCACATAAAATATACCGTTTCAGCCTGCATGGATTTTAAAGTTCAGTGGTATCAATACATTTGTAATACTGAATCTTATGCTCTGTCATCCCTAGAACTCTGCTGACGTCCCACTCACTTCACCCCTCACCCCTGTACTGAGCTACATCCTCAGACTTTTTAATTGTTTTATTGACAGTATTTTGAAACAAGGTCCTTCTAAGTTGCCATCACTGAGTCTTGGTGTTGGGGTCTTCCTGCCTCAGTCTTCTAAGTAGCTGAGGTTATAGACATTGCCACTACATTTAGCTCAGTGTTCGTTTATAAAATCTCACCCATATTTTTACTGTAGAAGCTGATTTGACTGTTTCAGAAACACCTCTGTCATTGTGAAGGTATGGACTATAGTTCTAGTAACTGTTCCAGTCCAACCCAGGGCCTGGCAATCGAGGAGGCCCTGTGCTTGTGACTACGCTGCCAGCCCACAGCTGCCCCTTTTAGCATCCTGTCCCGTCTTGCTTGGGGTTCATCACTCTACTTCCTCCTTTATGAGTCACCGTCTGTGGTTTTTTTTTTTTTTTTTTTTAAGCTAAACTTGGTAATTTGTGATTAGATGCCAGATAACATGAATTTTTACCTTGTTGATTGCTGGATAGTTTTGAATCCCTGTAAATATTCTTGAACTTTGTTCTGGAATACATTTAAGTGGCTTGGAGGCAGATCTGTCAGGTGGGACCCGAGCTGTGCTCAGTTGGGCTAATAGTTCACCATGGGGGGAGGGAGACACTCTATGTGCCCTGCCTGTGAGCAGCCAGGCTTTCCGTGATCCGTGGGGTTCTTCTCCCTGGCCTGGGGGCTCCCATGTTCTGGGACATGTTCTGAGATGGCCTGCATCTCTTAACTTTAGCCCTATCTGCTCAGCGTGGCGAGCTTCCTGGGCTCGGCTGTACTCTCTACCCTGGGCCGTAGCCTGGACCACTGTGTTATTTTCTGGTGTCTGGTGGTGGTGTGGAAACAGTTTTATATCTCTTGTCCATTTTTGTTTGGGTTTCGCTCAGGAGGATAAATGTAATCCCTGTTAGATTTCCTTGACCAGTGAGATGCCACCTCAGCATGGTTTCCATCTTTCATCTGCCCTCTCCAGATGTGTCCGTTTTTTGTTGTTTTTTTTTTTTTTGTCTTTTTCCTTTTTATCGGTACGGGGGATCAAATTCACGACTGCCTGCTTCCAACGCAGGCACTTATGCCGCTGAGCTAAATCCCCAGTCCCTGATGGGTCCGTTTTTAACCTTCACTCTGCTGCCTGTGCTTACTTTACCATAAGTAGTAAACCACGGTGACTTTTCCTGTCTTATGTAACTTTTTATTTTCCCTGAAATTGCTTTCTTTCCATTTATTTGTTTGCTTTTGGAGACAAGTCTCACAATGTAGTACAGGCTGGCCTTAAACTTGCTATATAGCCCAGGCTGGTCTCTAATTCTCCTGCCTCGGCCTCCTGAGTGCTGGGATTACAGGCATAATGTAATTGTTATGCCTTGCCCTTTTTTTTTGACCTTTTGGGATCAAATTCAGGGCCTGGTGTGCACTGGGCCAGCACTGGGCCACGGAACTATTTACCTCCAGCCCAGCTTGCTGTTAGTATACGCTCTTCAGTGGCTATCTGCTTTTCAAGGTGGCCATTCTGGTGGCTGGTCTGTGTCTTACTGAAGATGCTGCCGTTAGCCTACAGCAGCATGGACCACTGTTGCCAAGCCACCTCCTCAGGCATCCTGGACCTTCCTTCTCTCATTTCTGCCTCTCCAGGACTGCACTGTGGCTCGGGAACACCCATCCTCTGTGGTTTCCTGTTTTGGGGGGTATCAGGAATCGAACTCAGGACCTTGCACTTGCAGGCAGGAGTTTGTGCTGCTGAGCTACATGCCTGGCCCTCTGGAGTTTCCTCAGAGGAGTTTGTTTGGGTGGGAGGTTTTGGGGCCACTCCAGCCTGACACTTAATCCCTCAGTTGATGACCAGATAGACACAGAAATTGTTTTCCCTCACTACCTCACGGATCATACTGTATTGCTTCTTACGTCCTGGAGTTCAGGCTGCAGTCCAAAAACATCCACAGACTTTGTGTGGCATCCATAAGCTGCTCCGATTCAGATTCTTTTTTACTGAAGTGCAGCTCATTAAAAAAATCCTCCAAAGAAGGCTTGACTTGCTAATGTTTAGAGGTCTGCATTTATTTATTTATTTATTGTTTATTTAAGACAGGATCTCTCAATGTATTCCAGGCTGGTCTTGAAATCACTATGTAGTCCAGAATAACCTCAAACTGGTAGTGATCTTCCTGCTTCAGCCTCCTTTCCACATGGTAAGATTATAGGTGTGTGCTACCATGCCTGTTTAGAAGAAGCCTTTTTTTGGTCATTTTGAGATAGGGTCTTGATGGTCTCGAACTTGCAGTAATCCTCCTGCCTTAGCCTCCTGAGTGCTGGGATTACAGGTGCGCACCCCATAGAAGTCTACATTTTAAAGAAAAGGAAAAAAGAAAAAGATGAAGCTAAGTGAAAACATAATAAAGAAAAAAATCCTCAGAACCATTTTCTTGGGATATTGGAATACATGATTTCTCTAATGAGCCTTAGCAATGAGGATTGTCACCTTTGTAGAAAGTAGATGCATATAAGCGCCTGCCTTGCAAGCAGGCAGTCGTGAGTTCGATCCCCGGTACTGATAAAAAGGAAAAAGACAAAAAAGAAAGTAGATGCATAAACTGTTGTCCAGGGTCATAATTTGAAGATGATATTAAAACAGTGGTTCATGTCCGCAGTGGAGATAACGTATGAATGGAGCACTGCCCCCGGGACCCATGACTGGCACAGAGAAAGGCTTTCTCCAGAGCAGTGGGCCTCTCTGAGTGGGCTCAAGGTATGGTACCTGGTATCTCAGGGACCCAGCTGATGAAGTGCTCAGGCTGGGGCTCAAGCATGACCATTTCCAGGTTCTTAGAGACTTTAGAGCTTGACAAGGCAAAGACCATGCAGTGCAGCACTTAATGAAGACCCTCGCTCTGCCGGTTGTGTATTCGGATCCATGGCCACGGCAGCACTGGGGAGCTTGTTAGAAGCAGGCTGGATCTGTGAGGTCAAGATCTGCACTGTCATTGGTACATGCATTAAAGTTGGCAACCAGATGAGTGGTGCATGCCTGAGATCCCAGTGCTATGGGAGGCTAAGGCAGGAGAATTGAAGTTTGAGTCTCGCCTGGGCAACTTGGTGACTTGGCAAGATTGCCTTCAAAAACAAGAAAGCGAGAAAGACAGAGAGAGACAGAGATGAGGACGAGGCTCAGTGCAAAAGCCTTGAGTTCAGATTCCAGTAAGGGGGGGGGTCTGACTATTTATCTCTGAAGCAAATTCTTCCCTAGGCCAGGCTGTTCCAGGAGTTGGGGTGGGTGTGTGAGGTTTTTATTTGCTGTCTTGTTTGTAATTCTTCATTCCTGGTCTCACTTGGTGGATACAAGGTTTTGTCACCCTGAGGACCTTCGCTGACAGTTCTGGAGCATGACCTGGTAGGCCCGTGTGTGGGAGCCTCCAGGGTGGCATGGTTGTATCATTCTTGGCTTGGCCGGGGTCTCCGTAGAAAATGCTGCTGTCTCCTGCTGGGGGTGGGGGCTGTGTGCCCTGGGAACAGGTCAGGAGGGGAGCTGGGCTCTTGCTGTCCCTGTGTGAGCAGCTCTTGCTGGGACCAGGCCACTGCACAGAGGCCTTGAACTAATCTGTGGAGGGCTGTCTCCCCACCCCAGCAAGATGGTGGAGGGGCAGCTGCCTAGTTGCTGAGTCCAGCAGGGGAACAGAGATCTTACTCTTCCTCAGCTGCTTGTAACTACTGCATTTCGGGGTTTCCCTCTTGGCATCCCCTTTCTTGAAGAGGCATTGGGGCTGCCTGTTTGAGGTCTTTGGAGGGTTTGTGGGGTCAGTGGTCCCTCTTCACCTTGGACCTTGTGACCACGTGTGTTGTCCTTGTCACTCGCCCATCTGCTTTTCAGTTTCTAGAGTTTCCTTGTGGCTGCTTCCTCTGTCTTCTACCATTCTCCCCAGCCGTAGGGAATTATGCCTTTAAAACAAAAACCTCTTTTTAAAAAATTGTCATTTGTGGGCTGGGGATATAGCTCGAGGCATAAGTACCTGCCTGGCAAGCATAAGGTCCTGAGTTTGATTTCCAGTACCAAAACAAAGAAATAAAAATGGTCATTTTGGACTGAATTTCAGGCAGAAGTGAAGTTATCTGCATGCCTGCAGACCTCTGTCTTTTCCTGGAACTCCCCCACTGCACCCCTTTTTGAGACAGGGTTTCTATGTGCAGTTCAGGTTGACCTTGAGCTCACTATGTAGCCCCAGGCTGGTCTCAAGCCTACGGTGATCCTTCTGCTTCAGCCTCCTGAGTGCTGGGATTAGAGGTGTGCCCTATCATGCCCGGCTTCTGTCTCCCCTTTACACTGCCTCATAGAACCCCGCATTCCCTCAGTGTCCGTACAGGGAGCAGTGTGTGTTGGACGCTGTGTTGGTGGATGTAAGACTTCTACTCTGCCCTCCGTAGGTCTGCATCTTTGGCCAAGCAGTTTCATGTGTGTGGACCAGATGCTGGCTTTGCCTTTTACTCTCTGGGTGACCCTGCTCATTTAGCATCTCGGTTTCTCATCTGAAATTGAGGGAGAATGCAGGGTAAGGAGTGTTTTTAATCCATCAATGCAGATGAAGCTTTCACTAAAGAGCTGGTACACAGAGATTCATCCTGAGGATACAGACTGAGACTTACGTTCCTTCAGAGTCCCCTGGAGCTGCTTCACAGGGTGGCCACCTAGTAGGTGCCTGGTGAGTAACAGAAGGGGGAGGAGCCAGAGGTTTTGCCTGTCCTCCCTTGCGCAGTTGTACCTTCTAGGAGTCCCAGGTGGGTGTGGCCACATTGGCTACTTCCTGTTTTTTTGTGCCACCAAATGAAGGGAGGCCCCTGCCCAGGCCTCTTGACCTTGGCAACACCCTGGGCCTTTGCTGGGCCCAGGTCCTCGGCTTCCGTTCCATACAGCAGCGGCAGCCCCTCCCCTTCGTGGTTTCCTATGGTCACTAGTCAAATGGGCGGGGGATGTAGTGAGGCACAGGTCAAGTCCTGACGTTGCTCTCACTGCAGGTCTCCTGGTCTTCCAGGCTGCAGGCTTCACTTGTGCCCAGCCCCTGGAGTTTGGGACAGATGTGTCTGGCGTGGTGAGCTGTGCTCCTGTGGAGTGACTGTCCCACAGCGCACAGCCTGGCATCTTCATGCTGCTCCTCCCCACCCCACTCTAGGCCCAACAACGGGCCCCTTCAGCTCTGGACTTGGCCAAGGCGGGGGTGGTGAAGCCTGCACCAGCAGTGGGCAGGGTGACTGCCGAGTAGTCTCTGCCAGCCCTGGCTGCTGGGAGCCACATGGCATCCTTTCTCCCAGCCATCATCCTCCCTCCTCAGAGTCGCCGCTAGGGCCTGGTATCTGATGGCTCCTGGGCAGGACAAGAGAGGCAGAGCTGTGCAGCTGGGTAGTGGGAGGCCTGGGCAGTGGGAGGCATGCATGGGCACAAGCCTAGGCAGCTCCAGGAATCTGTCCTCTGTCCCGTCCGGCTGATGTCCATGTGTGTGGGAGGGTGTCCAGGAGCACGTTAGTACTCCGAGCTCCGGTCTCTGGGTGGGGGGTTGGCAGGCTGCCTTCAGCTGATGGCATGGAAACAGCTTGGTGCAGATGGGGAGTTTGGCACGGTGTCCCTGTGTGGGGCGGTGGGCTCCTTGTCTTAGTGGTTACACCATCTCTGTAGGCGTTAGAGATAGTGATATTGGAGCCCCTGGCGTATGGGGGATGGGTTCTCCTCCTCTTCCATACCAGGTCCCCCCTGCAGTGTGAAGAGGATGCAACCTCTGTAGGTAGATGTCAGATGTCATGGGTTCAAGATGCTCTCTGCCTGAGGGGTGGAGCTGACCTTGGGTCTGAGTGGTCTTCAGGGCCTGGGCCAGGAGAGACTGTTTGCTGAGACCCAACAGTGGTCCTCCCTAGGAAGGCGCAGGCTCCTCTGGACTAGAGGTAAGGGCGTGGGCACCCAGCTTGTTCCTGGTGTCTGCCGGGTGTTCAGGTGGCAGCAGCACACAGGACAAGCGGCCGGCCACCTTGCTGCATGGTCTGTCACTAAGGCTGATGTCCTTGTCATCCAACAACCAGGTCCCTTGCCAAGCTAGGTTGCATGAACATGTGCAAACCACAGTAGAATGCACAGGACTTCCTCAGTAAAATCATGTCCCAGTGCAGAGTGTTCCAGGAATACTGACCATTTACAGGTTCGAGCTCTTATGTTTAAGTTCTTGTGGTGGTTTCCCACGTACTGCCCTTGTTTATAAGAATTTCTTTCTTTTCTTTCTTTCTTTCTTTCTTTCTTTCTTTCTTTCTTTCTTTCTTTCTTTCTTGTGTGTGCCTTTGTCTTTTTTAGATAGGGTCTTGCTATGCAGTTCAGGCTGGCCTCTAACTTGCAGTGATCCTCCTGCCTCAGCCTCCTGAGTGCTAGGATCACAGGTGTGCATGTAAGAATTTTTTTAAAAAAGCAGTTTGAGGACCTGGTGCCATACAAGCAATCATTTTGGGACAGGAAATGGGAATATACTGAAAAGATAGCATTTGATTCAGGTTTTGAAGGGTGTATAGGGGTTCATCTTATAGATAAAGAGAAATGCTACAAAGAGTAGCCCAGGGACATTTAAATGAAGAGCAGGTGTGTCAAGGAAAGGGCAGGCTCTTGCCAAGGCTGTGGAGACAAGCAAGGCATGCACCCTGCCAGGCCTGTGCGCTCGTGGGGTTACTCCTAAACACAGGAGCAGAGCAAAAACCTCAGTTCTGCATTCAGGTGACACTAACAGCAGGCACCAGGTCCCGAGTGCTGCGCTGTGTGCTCCTCATTCTCTCACTGACTTAAACATTTTCCTGGTGCGTGTTTGCAGTACCCAATGATCACTGACGCCTGGGGAGGAGCAAGTGAACACATTGTCATTCTTTTACCTTCCTTCTCTCCCCAGGAGGGAGATTCTTTTTATCCCACTTTCCAGATGGGGAGATTGAGGCTTAGAGGTGAAGTGATTCACTCAGATATTGCCCTCCAGCCCAGTTCTCTCTGATCCTGGCTGGCAACAGGACCCATTGATCTGTCCTTGGGAGGGTGCAGAGTGCCGAACTGGAGGGGAGTGTGGGTGCGGCGGTGTGAGTGGGGTGTTCTGGCCTGGCGGTCTTGATGGAATAGAGGAGCAGGAGGCGGGCCGCAGGGGTGGTGACGTGGGTGGGGGATGGGGCACCTATGACAGGTCCCTTGAAGTTTGTGTGAGCCTCCTGGTGGTGCTGCCCTGCAAGTGTCTGGAGCCACCGTGTGGGGGAGAGGAGGTAACAGGGCTGTGAGGAGGAGGAAGGGTGAGGTCACCGTGTCAGGAAACACTACACAGTCCAGGAGGGCAGGGAAGCTGTCCCCAGGACGTGGGCTGCCAGGTCTCTGGGAAGGAGGGGTGTGTGTGCGTCTGAGTCACCCTTCTCTTCCTGTGCCCTGGCCGGCCACCTCCTCAGATCAGGCTGACCTGAAGGTGTGGGGTTGCCAGGTCCACTTCCCTCAGAAATGTGGTCCAAGAGGAACCAGCCTGGCCTTGGTACAGATGCTTGGGCCCTGGGCTTGGAGGTGGGTTGAGGCTGCCGACTGGGTGGTGAGGCACCAAAGGCAGGGTTGTAGTGGCTCCCAGTGTGCCGTCCTGACTGAGCCGGAGAAGAGGGAGGCCGAGGTGGGAGGGAGCTAGCTTAGTAGGGTCGGCTTCTCTTCCCAACAGCACGCCAGGGTATTTTGTGACCTTCCTGTTGGCGGAAATTGTAAGTCTGTTCTGCTTCTTTATGTGGACCCATGGACTCCTCACTTGTTAATCCTGATGGAGAGGCTGGGGTCGGGAGTGTACGTGGGAGGCCACTGTCCCCAGCTGCTTCCAGCTCCCCTTAGCTGGGTGGTGTAAAGGGATAGACAGCAAGTGTATTGGGCAGATTCCAGTCCAGGTCTCTCTGATCCTGGGTGGCGGTTGTGGCGTCCCAGGGGCCGTTGGAGTCCTGTGGATGGCACAGCTGGATGGTGTTGAGAAAGGGGATTTCCAAGAGGAGGAAGCAGGAGAAAGCAAGAGGAGGAATGGTCCAGGGCAGGACGGGGTGGGCTGATGTTCTCAGCCTTGGCTTCCTGACAGCTGCTGGTCAGGGTCGCAAGACTCCCGCTGCTTACCAGCATCTAGGTCGACATGTCCTGGGCATCCCCTGACTCCTCCCCACGTGGCTCTCCGGGCAGGCCTGGCAGCAGAGGGCAGAGGAAGGAATGCAGAGGCCAAGGGGAGGGGCTGGGAGAGAATGGCCGGGCCCTGGGTGGGTGCTGGGGTCTTCGCTTAACCTTGTGGCTAATGGGTGTCTTCAGCATCTCTACCCTCGTCTTGCCCCAGGGAGGTGGAGGGGCCTGAGCTCAGCCCTACATCCACCAAGGAGTCTGTGGCTGCTTGTCCTGCCATCCACTTGAGATGTGCCCAGCACCTTGGGTTCCGATTGGAGGAGGGGCGGAGCCTCCGCAGCAGTACTTCCTGCCGTCCTCGCCCCAGGGCTGGGCAGGCACTGCTGTGTGGGCAAGCGCGGGAGTGGGCATGTGCGGGAGTCACAGGTCTGAAGTCACCAAGGCCAGCCCCCGTGTCCTGGCTTACACTCCCATGCGTACAGACACACTGTCCCAGGGAGGTCGAGACCAGGAGGTGAGGGGCGGGTCGGGGCGGGGCTGCGGGCAGAGCTGGGCAGGAGGAGCCAGGGGCCTGCAGGTGGAGCCTGGCTCCGTCCTTGGTCCTTGGCTGGGGTGGGTGGAGACAGAGCAGACTTCTCGGTCTGCTCCAGCTGTGGGTGTGGGCAGTGAGGGCGGGATCTCTCCACGGGAGGTGGCTCCCCAAGGCGCTTTGGGTCAGGTTATAATCAGCTGCCTGTTTTAGAGAGTCTCCACTATTTGGAGGGTGCACCAGAGGCTGTGGAGGTGGGGCGGGCCTGGAGCCTCCCCCTCAGGATGCTGCACGAGCCACCCCCTTCCCACGCAGAACAGTGACGCGGCAGAACTACTGGAGGGGCGGGTGGCGTTACTGTGCCTCCCTGGCAGATCCAGGACTCCGTTCCAGGGGAGAGCTGCTTACCCTCGCCTGGTGGGGGGCGAAGAGGGCTGACAGGTAGGGGACAGCCGATACCAGGAAGCCAGGCTCCATCATCTGCTTTCCCTAGCAGCTGCCAGGAGTACAAGGTGCTCCTGGTCCCAGGGCAGATCTTGGGTGCCTTTGTATACGTTCTGGTGGTGGCGAAATAAGGGTGCCGGCATCGGCCCCAGCATGCATGGCCCACTGGGATTTAAGCTGCCCTTTGGGCCTTGGGCAGCACCCCCGAGGATCCTGGAAAGCACTGCTCAGACCTGGGCTCAGTCTTACAGGGGAACTGAGTAGTGGATATTCCCTGGACACTCCCGTTTGCTGGCCTGCTGAGTCTGTATCAAGCTAGATAGCTGTGTTCTTTGGAAAACAAGTGTTTAGGCTACCTCCCTTCCCCTTGGATGTCATGCAGTTCTTTTTCTGGACGGCAGAGGGCGGTAACTGACAGGAGAAAGGGCTTTGCCTGCAGAAAGGTCAGCCTGTTTTCCAGGGCTGGGAGGAGGGGTTCAGGAACTGACTTGGTGCCTTGGTACAAGTTGCTTTTCTTCACAGCTTCCCACGGTTGGAGCTTTGGGCAAGCTGCTAGGGCTCATGCTCGTTAGACATCCAAAGGGTCAGCCAGGCAT